ATAAGGGAGAAAGACACCGTTTGAATACTGTGGAGAAGGCGGAGCATTTTTACACTACTATTTTTAAAGAAAGAACACCATCTCCACGTACATCTACAGTTCTGGAGATTAAGGAGAGTGACAAGAAGCAACTTCAACAAGAACCGCAAGAACAGTTAAAACAGGTGGAGCTAGAGGAAACGCAGGGTGCGGAAGGAGGTTTCTTGGATGAGCCCCTGTTGGAATCTTCTCCAATATTGGACCCGGTTCGGACGGTTGAGGTTAAGGATGAGCGCATAACTCGTGCAAAATCTAAGCAACTTAAAGAAAAGCAACAACAACAGGAAAGACAAGAAAAAAAGGGAGCTAAGAGTACCACACAAGAGATTGGAGCCATGGGGGGAGCGAGACCGAAGATTCCGGAAGATATTCGGTTATTCTGCTCGTTGCTCCATAAAGATAAAGATGACGATTAAGTGTTTATCTTGGAATGTGAATGGGTTGAACTCGGTACAGAAAAGGAAGAAGTTATTTGTATATCTGAGACAATTTAATAATGATATAATTTGTTTACAAGAAACTCATATTACAACTCAAGATCAAAAATACTTGATAAATTCCAAACTAGGCACACATTTTATATCTTCAACTTCGCAAAAAAAGAATGGTGTGGTTATTTATGTAAATAAAAAATTAACAGCTAAAATTATAGAAGCAGATGAAGATGGTAGGTTTATAGCAATCGAATTGCTTACAGTGAATGGCCAAATTCTTCTGATTGGAATTTATGCTCCTAACCAACAACAGGATCATTTTTATAAAATGTTACATACCAAAATACTGCAATGGGACTATAGATCTATTTTAATAATGGGAGACTGGAATGGAGTAATTGATTCTAAATTAGATAAAAAGAGTTTGGCGAAATCCAGGATTAGATTACCACAGACTTTTTTTGATATGAAAGAAGACCTGGAATTAAAAGATATTTGGAGAATACATAATCCAAAAGAATTGGATTATACTTTTTTTTCTGATAGACATAGATCCTTCTCTAGGATTGACTTTATTTTGTTGTCAGATGATTTACTTGTTAAGACAAAAAGAACAAAGATTTTCCCAAGAACTTTGTCCGACCATAGCCCAGTATGGATAGAAATCGAGATGGGTAAGACTGAACGACGCTCTTGGAGAGTGAATGAAAACTTATTCAGATATGAAAAAAACATAATAGAACTTAAAAAGCACTTGAAAGAATTTTTTGAAATAAACTTGAATAAAGGTACCCCAATTGAAATTGTGTGGGATGCGAGCAAAGCATATATGAGAGGGGTGCTTATTTACATGAACTCTAAACACAAAATGAATCGGCAGAAGAGAAGATTTGAATTGGAAATAGAAATAAAGAATAAAGAACAGCTACTTATTAAAAACCCAACAGATGAAAGAATACGTAGTGTTATAAAACTTTTGAAAGATCAATTTCAAATGCTTATGGCGGAACAAGTTGCAACAAATTTACAATATGCGAAGCATAATACTTTTTGTAATGCCAATAAACCGGGCAGATGGTTGGCCTACACTTTAAGAAAAAAGCAGAGTACACGGACTATTGATAATATTGATATTGGAGGGAAAGAAATTTTTCAACAAAAATTAATTAAAGAAGCTTTTGTGGACTATTACACTAAACTATATGCTAAAGATGATGTGCAGAATGGACTTATAGAAAAATATTTAGATAATAAAAGAGTCACAAAAATTACAGATCAACAAAAGGAAAGAATGAATTATCCTATAACAGAGGAGGAGATATCGGCAGCAATTAAACAATTAAAAACAGCTAAAGCTCCTGGAACTGATGGCTTGACAGCAGTGTATTATAAAACTTTGCAAACAGAAATGGTGGAACAACTTAGAGATTTGTTTTGTAATATTCAACAAGGGGGTAAAATACCCCCATCATGGACAACAGCATATATTTCTTTGATACCAAAAGAACAAGCAGGTCCTAAAAAACCGGAGAATTATAGACCAATATCTCTTCTTAATACTGATTATAAAATTTATGCAAAAGTACTAGCCAACAGGCTGATGCCAGTAATTCAAAAGGTGATCCATGATGACCAAGCCGGATTTATCGAGGGTAGATACATGAAGGATAATGTAAGGTAAGTAATAGATTTATTGGAATATCTTGAGAGGAATAAACAGGTACCTGCAGTGCTGGTCTTTTTGGATGCGGAAAAGGCCTTTGACAGAGTGGATTGGAATTTTCTATTAAAGACTTTAAAAAAGATGGACTTTGGGGACCAATTTATACAGGCGGTCTCAGCAATTTACCAAGAGCAAAAGGCACAGATTATTATTAATGGAAGTCTGACAACAGAGTTTAAAATTGAAAAAGGAACAAGACAGGGATGTCCGTTATCCCCATTGTTATTTATTTTAACATTAGAAGTCTTGTTAAATACAATACGGGACTCTAATATCTTGAAAGGTATAACGATAAGGCAAGAGGATTACAGAATAAAAGCATTTGCAGATGATCTGGTCGTTACCCTAACACAGCCAATGGAATCAATAATCCAGATGAAGGACATTATACAAGACTATGGTAAAGTTTCAGGTTTTAGATTGAATCAGAAAAAAACTAAGATGATAGTTAAAAATATGACACAAGATCGTAAACATGAGCTTGAAAGGAGGGCAGGTTTTGAGATCGTACCAAAGGTAAAATATCTAGGAGTTCAGGTTGCAGAATCAAATATGAAATTGTTTCAAAATAATTATGAGGTTTTGTGGCGAGATGTGCAGAAAGATATGGAGACTTGGAAAAAACTGCAGCTGTCTTTACTTGGAAGAATAGCAGCAATTAAGATGAATATTTTGCCAAGATTTCTTTTTTTGTTTCAAATGATTCCGGTGCTCAAAAGTGATAAGCAACTGAAAGTCTGGCAAACTGGAGTGAACAAGTTTGTCTGGAACGAGAAAAAACCGAGAGTGAAATTGAAAATTATGCAAGATGTTCCAGAAAGGGGAGGTCTTAAACTTCCAAACCTACAGTTATATTACGAAGCAGCAGCTTTGACTTCAGCAAGTGATTGGTTTGGAAGGAAAAAGACTGGAATATTGAATATTGAAAGTTTTGACCTTGAATTTGGATGGCATGCTTATTTATTTTATGATAACAAAGTGGATAAAGTATTTAAAAGCCATATACTTAGAGACTCTTTGATGAGAGTTTGGAAGAAGCACCGATTCAAATGGGATTATAAAATACCGCTATGGCTGGATCTTGGTCATATTATGTGGAATACAAATATAATGTCACTCGGGGGGGGGGGTTATACAAAGAGGTTCTTTTTACAGATGCGGGCAGATGGCAGTTGAAGACACTACAGACACTGTTGGACGAAGGGATTAACTTAACTTGGTTACAATATAATCAATTACAATTGAGATGGAGAGAGGACCAAAAAACTGGTATTATGTTGCATGAGGAAGAATTGGTTAGACATATAAAAGAGAAAGGTCCAATGCATATTAAAAGGCTTTATAATGTTTTGTTGGAAAGGGATTCAGAAACTGAGCTGGTTAAAGATTGTATGATTAAGTGGGCACAAAATTTTGAGGAGCCAGTGATGTTGGAAACATGGGAAAAAATTTGGGTTCAGAATGTTAAATTTACACAGTTGCAGAACCTGAGGGAAAATTTCTATAAAATGTTTTATAGATGGCATTTAGACCCCAAAAAATTGTCGTGTATGTACCCTAATGTTCAGCCAAAATGTTGCAGATGTGATTGTTTAGATGCTACATATTATCATGTGTGGTGGACTTGTAGGAAAGTTAAGGCTTTTTGGATAAAAATTTGGTGGGTCATGCAGAATGTTTTGAAGAAAAAAATTCAATTTTCTCCACAATTGTTCTTATTGGGTATAGTTAAGGGTTTTACTAAGGGTGAAACAAAGTTGATATTGTACATGATAACAGCTGCGAGATTATTGATAGGTAAATACTGGAAGAATGAAGTTTTGCCCACGATTGAGGAATGGACTTTGAAGATGGCCAGTTTTGCAGAGATGGCGAAGATCTCAGCATTTTTAAAAGACTGCTCACAAGAGACTTATGAATGGGAATGGAAAAAGTGGATAGATTATGTTCAGAATAAATATCAAACTAGAAAGTACCAAATAGCTTTTAATTGAAAATGATATTTTAAGATAGAAATATTTCAGTGTGATGAAGATGAAAAACTTACAAGGAGGAGGGAGGGGTTCAAGTTTTATATAAGTTTTATATTAAGGGTTTTTTTTTTTTACCTGATATAAGTATATTGTGTGGAAGTCCGGGGGGAGGGGAGGGTTAGGGAGGGTTAGGGAGGTTGGGAAGTTCGGGGTGGGTTGAGGGGGGGGAAAGGGGTGAAAATGTAATTGTAAAACTTTTGCAATAAAAAATAATAATAATAATAATAATAATAAGCCTATATTCATTTGAACTGCCTGGACTCTTGATTTCCTAAGCTTGACTGAAAATGTCATACTATCATCCTGCCTCCCAGGTGTTATTTGGTGCCGGATACTGTCCCTCCATTATTGCTGCAACTCTGAACAAAGATCTTGTTCCAGGTTTTATATATATTTAGGTTTGCTCTATTTTCATTTACACAGCCCATATTTTTAACAACACTCACAGCAACTTGGCAGAAGCATCAATTAATAGATCTCTATAATCGTAAATAGGGATATTTATTTCCCCTCGTTGTAGCAATGAAATGATGAAAATATGTTCTTTTGTTTGATCTCATTTCTTTAATATAAAAGGAGAAAAACGGTGAAACAAGCCAGCAAACAGAAGATTATACTTTCTGACTTAAAGGAAAAAATACGTTTGGGGGGAAAATCTGCCTGATAATATTGCTTTTTGATTTAGAAATCCTTTGCCTTAATCCTGGGAATTACATTGACAGCATGCGGTGGCATTCATATAACACAATTATTGAATTCATTCATTTTCAGTGTACCATGAACTAACCAAGTCAGCCTGGTCTATCCAATGCATTAAAGCCACAAGAAAGAAACAAAGCTGAACGACCACATAACTACCAGTTCAACCCTGCAAAATTTCAGATGGGGTCACTAGGCCTTTAACTGGCCCGGATAAGGATTAGAGCTGTAGATACTTCAAAATCATTCAGAAGAAACGCTTTGGACCTCTCATGAGTACAACACTACTTGAATAACAGAATAATTTACATGTTGCACAGAATATGACGTACATATGGAAACATATGACTAGTTTTTTTTCCTAACTACTTGCATAAGGATTATTCTTTATATTATTCATGTTGTCATGTATTCTTGTATGGACTGCACCAGTAGAGGCTAAACCAATTTTGTTGTATACATGATGTACAATGACAATAAAGGCTTTGAACTTTGAACTTGAACTTAATATAGTAAAAGCGTTAGAAGGGACCTTGGAGGTCGTCTTGTCCAACCCCCTGCTTAAGCAAGAGACCCTATACATTTCAAATGGTTGTCCAATCTCTTCTTTAAAACCTCCAGTGATGAAGCCTTCACAACTTCTGAATGTCGACGGAGATTCTCAATCATTTCACTGATTAATTGTTCTCACTGTCAGGACATTTCTTCTTATTCTATTCATTGAAACAGCCTGAACTTCTGTGCAAACTGGAAAAAAGAGAGAGAGAGAGAGATGGCTGCTTTCCTAAGTCAACTTCGGGCGTCCGGCAAGATGCTATGGTTTTTCTATTCCTTCTTACTCTTGCAAGCCAGCTTTATTTTAATTTTCTCTTCCACCAGAGACCAAGATTTTGATACAGCTCTTGGTCACAGGTAATTAATCTGCATCAGCAATGCACAAGGAACGTTGCATCTGCCGACAAGGCTCCCTTGCTGGAGCAGATTATTAGGCATGCCATTCACTTACTTTCTCTTAACCCTGTAGAAGAAAATACATGCTACATAATTCTTGATTAAATGCCCAACAGACAGGGGCGGGGCGGGGGTGTTTCGGGTTCAGCTGACTAAAGGAGAACTCAGGACTATGTAAGCTACTCTTTCTCTCTGTGGCCATTTTCAGCCTGCCCTCAGGCTTCCTTTTGAGGCATCACCGGGTTAAAAATATTCTCCTGGAAGGTATCATTGCCACACTGCTGCAGATGTCACTGACTTAGCACTTTCTGGAGGATCTATTAAAAGTAATGCCATTAATTACTTAGCATGTCATCGCAGGACTGCCTTCCAGTGGTTTCAAATGGCATATTCTCTGCTGCCCCAAATTAATCACCTCCTGGGTTAAACTGGAGGGGGAGGGAAGAGAGACTTTCAGCAGATAAGCAATGAGATTTTGCATGTATGGAGCAGTCCAGAATCTATTACCAGGCTGTGCAGCGTAGGCAGTTGCCTGCAGGGAGAGCCTCACATTCGACAAAGAGAAGGAGATGGTGGGGATAGCTTTTCAGATTCCTCAGCTGCCCCCCTCTATTGAAAGAGAAGATGGAGATAAGCAATCCAAGGGTCACCTAATTTAGTCTGTTGCCTCAACAATCAGCTTGACCCATATTTTTGGTTGCCAGAGGTAACGCACAAAATGGTTCTCTAGAGTCTAGACTCTAGCCCAATGAGACGCTCCCATGTCTTGTAGCTGAATCGTAAATAAGGGTGATCAGATGGCCTCTTCAAGCATACCAAAAACAGAGGTTATTTTAGGGGTCCAGGATAGCTTACTTATCGTGCCCAGCTTTGTCTCTTCAATAGAGACGAACAGTCAGAAAATAGACGAGGATTGCCCTTGTTACCTATCAGTTACTATCTGAGCTGTCCCTTCATTTTTCAAATCTTTCTTTCTTTCTTTCTTTCTTTCTTTCTTTCTTTCTTTCTTTCTCAAATATATAAGGGTGCCCATCTATCCAGTGAAACTCTGGCCAGCAAACTAAATATGGAAAACATCAGCAATCATACTAAAATACCCCCAATCAAGATCACCTTCATTAGAAGCCACAAAAGACAGCCTTTCCATATATCCACACCATAGCTCCAGAATACAGCTGGCACCAATGCCAAAAGGCCAGGAAGGTCAGGGCCAGCTGAAGGCTGCTCCATGAGGCAGGTGCCATCACAGAGAAGGTATACTTCTAGGATCCACCATGTGAGACTGCTTCACAGAGGGGGCCTGGAGCAGGTCCTCTCTGCCAATCCAACAGGCAGCATTGCCTCCCCATGAAGGAGAAGCAGTTCCACAAATAATATGGCCTCATGTCTTACAAGGTTTAAAGGTGGCAACTAGTACCTTGAATTGCACCTGGAAGCCTACTGGGAGCCAGTGCAGCTCATGTAGCAATGTTGTTATGTGGGCATACCTTGGTGCACCCAATACTACACATGCCACTGCATTTTGGACTAGCTAGAGCTTCCAAATGCTTTTCTTACCCTCCAAAAACCAAGAAAGACATACTGAAGTTCTTCTAAGCAGTTTCCTTTATTATTCCTCACTTATAGACAGAAGTCTTGCCAACTAAAGCAGTAAAAACAGTATAAAGTTTAAACATATACTCTGAGATAGAGGAGCCAACTTAACTGTCTTTCTCTACACCAGCTACCTAAACTTCGCTGTCTTTTGCTCCTCTAGAATTTACTTCCTTCCTCCTGGGAATCCAAACTACATTCCATCACATTTTTCTAAGGATTCCTCCCCTTGAAGGGGTCAGTCCTGGCTTTAGGGTGGTTGAAGATGCTCTCCCATTGCCAGGATTGATTCAGCTGGTAGCAAGTAGACTGCAAGAGGACACCAGCACCACCTTATCTGCAAAATATATTGGACTGGTCTGGTTCTGGCTTTCCAGTTTGTAGGTTCCATTTTGGGTTTCTATAGAATCTTGAAGTCAACTATTGAAGCTTCATTCTGTGGGCAGGCATATGGCAAAAAATGAAGGAACAGAGGTTTCATCGTATGCTCAGCCCATGAAGTTAATCAAAATCTGAGACACCAGCTCATAATCTTTTATGTGAAAACCCAGAGCAGCATCAATATTCCTGGTGATGAGATCTGTACAGCTGTAGAACAGTCTACTATGGACATAGAGTAGATTTACTCTGAGTTAATATCTATTCATACTCTATGAGCAGAGTAAATTTACTCTATGAGGTTCTTAAGAAGAAGGTGAATAATATAATCAGCTTTCCAGCATATTTCAGAGGATTGGAGACAGTGGTGGGTTCTAACCAGTTTTACCACCGGTTCACATCGCACACGCGCTTTGCGCGCGATCGCCGTGCAAAACGCATTGAGTAAAAAACAGCAGAGGCATGGCAATCCACTCTGCCGCGCCTTACAGCTGAGCTAAAAACAAAAGAAATAAAGGTAGGTATAGCGCGGGGGCAAGGGCCCAACTGACGGTTCGCTCTCCTATCAAGATTTCCACTACTGGCTCTCCCGAAACGGGGAGAACTAGTAGCAACCCACCACTGGTTGGAGATAATCCTTGTGGTACCCATCTCTAAAGCCTATGATGTTATTTTCTGGTTACCTTGAAAACATGATTGCAAAAGTTAAAGTCTGTGCATATGTGCATTTTGCTGCAGGGGCAGGCATGTTTCCTCTTCCTTTACTCTTTTACTGATACACGAATCAAAACCCTCCATCCTCCTCTTGCCCTTCTCACATGGTTTGTTTCAGACAACCCCACTGCTACCAGCATGTACATGTTTAGCTCTACAAATATTTATCTGCGTTTCAAAATTACAACCTGGAAAACAGCACCTGGGATTGGCCACCAAGTCATGTGCAGAAAAGCTGTGAGTACAGAGGTCTCTCATTCGTGAGTGAAAGATGCCTGGGATTTTGCTCTCCTTGCCTGGGGGCTGGTAAGTGAGCATTAGTTCATTTAGGATTCACAGGGATTGGCTTAGTCCCTCCCTGAGGAAGTGGTGGGAAGTCTAAAGCTGTGGCTGGAAACGTCCTAACAGTTATACTGAGAAACAAGTGGGAGGCAGATACTCCAAAATAACTTGATTGCCCTAGAGCTAGGAAACAATACTTGGGCTGACAAAAGACAAGAACAAAGAAAAGCAATTAAGTTGCACTTTGCTAAGCGTGGGGAAAAAAGGCTCTGGGACAGGAGGAAGCAGGGCATATTTTTTGAAAAAGGTAAAGGCACAAGAGAGAAATCCTTCATGTCTACTTTTTTTTTTTTTATTTGATTTATATGCCACCCTTCTCCGGAGATTCAGGGCGGCTTACAGTGCGTTAAGCAATAGCCTTCATACTTTTGTATATTTATACAAAGTCAGCTTATTGCCCCCACAAACTGGGTCCTCAATTTACCCACCTTAGAAAGGATGGAAGAAAGCACTGCTAGCATTGTAATATTCCTGGTAGAACATAAACAGGATCCTGCTCCACTTCTTTTCTTTTTAAAATGTTACAAAATGATTTGTGCCTGAATAGTTAATTAGGTAATGGATATTGCATAGGGCATGGGTGTCAAACTCGATTTCATTGAGGGCTGCATCAGGGTTGTGTTTGACCCCGGGGGGGCATGGTCAGCTTGACATCACTCGTGTCAGGGGCACCTGTGGTGGCCCAAGTGCTCTGCCAGCGAAAACAGGCTCCCAATCTCAGTTTTCGGCTGGGACGGCCTCCTGCAACCCTCTGCCAGCAAAAATGGAGCTCAGGAGAGCCACATACCACATGGCCTCCCGAGCTCCGTTTTCACTGGCAGAGGGTTGCAGGATGCTGTCCCAGCCGAAAACAGAGTTTGGGAGCCCATTTTCACTGGCAGAGGCACTGTGGGCTGGTCCTTCGCTGTTTCCAGGGTGGCCCCGCAGGCCAGATCTAAGCACCCTGCTGGCTGGATCTGGCCCACAGGCCTTGAGTTTAACACCCCTGGCATAGGGAAAATCTCCTTGTCTAAGAGGATTAAAAAGCCAGTACAACCATTGGAACATTCTCTTTGGAAGGGCCTCTTACAGCATCTCTTTTCTGCTGAAAGAAGCCTTTGTCCTTTAAAGATGGAATGTCATTTCCACTTTCTAGGACCACAGAATGCCACGCTCTCTGTTTTGAGAGGTTAGCATAATTTCAGTGTCAGCTAATTCATATGTATGTGTAGGAAGTTAGCACGCACCCCTTTTCCTAGAAGAATGAAATATTTTAGGAAATACTAAAAAGGCAGAATATTATGTTTCCCTGGTTGAGAAATGGAGAAACATGTTTTAAAGACAAAGCAACTCCCACCTTCCTGCCTCCCCCATTTTGTTAATGGGCCAGAGGCAGAAACTCAATCTTTGACAATAGGACCCATCTGCAACACAATAGCAACAGAAACTAATGCAATGGAACCCATCTAGGACAGAAATTCACCACATGGCACCTGGGAAGATTACATCAGCCAGCAAGGCTAGCTAAGACCCCCACCCCCTGGGAGTCTGACAACCAATCAGGATACTCTTTCTGGGCCCCAGGAAGTTCAAAGCCAGAAAAAGCATAAAACCTGGGGGACTTGCTGTATCTCGGCCTTTTTCTGTTCAGGAACTCAAGCCATGTGATCCTGTCCACCATTAAACCATCTTTCCAAGCAGTCTCCATGTTTCCAGTGTCTTTTTCCCCACTTGGAGCATAACCCAAAAGGATATTTCTTCCAACATAGGGATGCCAGTTGGGGAAGAATGACACAGAAAAGAGCTTGAACAGGAGAGTTGTGTGTCTGTTGCTGAGATTATTGCCAGATGCCCATAGCTGGGCAATTTCCAGACTCCTCTTCCCTTCTTAGTGTCATTTTTTTCCAACTAGTCTGGGCAGCCTTCAAGCAGAAAACAGTTCTTGAGGGAAGTTGGCACATGATCTCCTGCTTTCAATCTTTAAAGAAAGAAAAGGTAGAGATTGCTCTAAATCAAGCTGAACTCCTAGCAGTAGTAGTATTTCTGAGCAAAAATACAAAAGTCATTTGTCTTTGCCATCTTCCAAGATGTTTTTTTCATCACTCCCATCTAAGAACCCTGAGATTTTCCACTGCTCCTCCACCCAAGTACCTAACCTGTTCCATCATTGTTTTGTGTCCAAGCTGCAAGAGTTTCTGGGAATAATACTGGAGCTTTCTTGCTTGTAGTTTCTTCATATAATCAACAATATATTGTTTCTTTAAATAGGAACTTGTGATATCATAGGGAAGCAAGGAAATCCACCTACCCTATAAGAATTCAGCACATGTACAGTTACTCAGGTGTCTTTTACTATTTATTCAAATGTAGGTTTTTGCTGCCCTCTGCTGGGTAGTACACATGAAGATCACAGCCGAAGTGATTTATTATTAGCACTCTAAAAGATAGCAGTGGGATTCCTTCTTAAGGACTGTACAGTTAAGGCTATAATGCTGCCTGTGATGCAGCATTTCCTCAGTATAAGATTTGGTTTTCTCTTTTAAGTAAGTGAGTAGGTTGTGTCTAACATTCCTAATGTAAGCAAATAGTTGTTACCAGCCTACTCTTATGAATGGAAAATGAAAACACGCAATTTAAAAGGTTCAAGTTATAGAAAGCCTCTTAAAATGCAACTCTCTATGGTGTACCTTCATGCTCCAGTGTGCTAAAAATCCCACAGGTCCCTAATATAATTAAATAGAAATAAATCAGTATAAATTAACTTTCAGGCCTCCAATCAGGAGACACAGAAGCAGAGCCTTAATTTGAAAGACAAATTAAAGGATTTTAGTGAGCACTTGAAGAGATATAGACATCCTGTATCTCAAATAACATTCTGGACTTTCCCATTTATCTTACAAGATATTTCATATTATAATATGTTGCTTTATCTGTTGTGTATGTGTGTGCCATGGCCTGATCTCAAGATGCCTCCTCAAACAAGAACCAGGAAGAGGCATCTCATACAACAGCCTAGGCCCGTGATGGTGAACCTATGGCATGCGTGCCACAGGTGGCATGCATAGCCGTATCAGTGGGCTTGTCAGCTCAGCTCCAGCTGATTTTTGGGGCTTCTGGGCCCACCAGAAGTAGGGAAACAAGCTATTTCGTGCCTCCAGTGGGCCTGGGAGGGGGGAGGCCCGTTTTTCTTTCTCATCTGGCTCCAGATCCTCTCTATGCATCTGGGGAGAGTAAAAACATCCTTCCCTACCCCCCTCGGAGTCCCTCCAGAGGCTCAAAACCGCCCATTTCCCAATGTCATAGGAAGTGACATTTTTTGCTGTCCCCAGCAAAAAGAGACACCTAGAGACACCTAGAGAGGCTCTGAAGGCTGGGGACAGCAAAAAAGTCACTTCCTATGCAACCAGAAGTTGGGAAACGGGCCGTTTTGGGCCTCCGGAGGGGGTGGGGAAGGCTGTTTTTGCCCTCCCGAGATGCATAGATAGGATCTGGAGCCAGGTGAGAAAGAAAAAGGGGCCTACCGGGCCATCATGTTCCAGGAGTGGGAGGGGAAGGGGGGTCACGCACGCATGCGCAGGGCGGGGTGCGTAGAATTATGGGGGTGAGCATGCACGCGAACTTCCCCCCTGGCACGTGATGGCAAAAAGGTTAGCCATCACTGGCCTAGGCTCTGTAGGTTCAGTGGAAACCAGTAGGCTCAACAGAAACACACAGCCTGAACCTCACAAATGGTTGTGCTTATCTGTTTAAGATAGTAAGAACTCAAATGTCCAGGTTTTACACACACAGAAATAAGATGCAGGGCAAACAGTCTTCAAAGGAGAAGATAAGAGAAGTATTAGAAGACAAACTGAGCCAGATCTCCAGGAAAAAGTGTCGGCAGTTGGCTTTAACAGAGTAATCGACAAGGCCATTCTAGACTGATATATAGTATACTTATTCACCAGAAAAATCTCTCAGCGTATTTTCCATCGAGTTGGACAAATAGTGTAATTTTCATTGGCATCAGTAAAAGTCCCAGAATGTGAGTCACTTCATATTCTACCTGGCCTTCAGCCAGCAAAAGAGGCAGTCACACTGCAGGCATATAAGCAGGGTGACAAGGAGGATGAAAGACTAGCAAAGATCAAAGGGATGTTAGGTGGAAGCACAATGAGGAGGGAAACAGTAACATGTAGGCCTCAGGGTTAATTTGATCTATAGGTTAATGGTTGAAAAACCTGACATTTCAGGAATGCAGAAATAATGGCAGCAAGACTCTCTAATCCTTTTTCTACAGGAATACCTCCTATCAGTTACAGTCAGCAAAATATATTGTGATGTAAAACTTCTCTCAAAACATATAGGCCTTCTTAGCCTGCTCAAGTTGATCCTTCAGGACTTTTGGTACTTCTCGGTACTGGTCTGCTGCTGGCACATAATTCAGTAGTGGAAAGAGGCAGCTGAACTATTGTTCTGATGTAGTATTTGTTTGCTCCATTTATCCATCAACTGAGAAGAAAATGAAACCTTCAGCAATCCTTTCCCATTCTGGGTATCATGCGGTGGATCAGTTTCTCCTCCCACCTACAAATAAATTGCCAAAATTTCATGAGATACCAGCTGAGAATATTTATATCTTGTGAGAATACTGAAACTGAAGGAGGCATGTTATTCCTGCTGTCCAGTTTAATAAGAGAAAAGGTTAAATCACATACCAATCCCAGGGTATTCAAAATAGTCTCCTTCTCAAAGTATGTGTGAGTAATAGCATATTGGAAATTTGTAAGGAGTGTGTGTGTGTGTGTCTGTGTGTGTGTGTGTGTGTTTTAAACATGGCTAAAGAGATATTGGGATTTAATTGAAATAAGTACAATAAACTGGGAATTCCACAGGTGCTTTTTCACGAGGCAATTGGGCTTTCTTGTTTTTTCTTTGAAGACGTTTCGCTTCTCATCCAAGAAGCTTCTTCATTCAGCTTGGATAAGAAGCAAAACATTTTCAAAGAAAAAACAAGAAAGTCCAGTTGCCTCCTGAAAAAACACCTTTGGGACAACCATGACCTGGATGACTGAGATTCTCTACAGACGTTTAGTAAACTGGGAACAAATTATCACATATATTTGTTTCTTCAGAGTGTTGAATTGATTCTTCAGCACATTTACTAACACAAATCAATCTTGTTGAACTTAATGGGGTTCACTTTTGCTAGATTGACATGCTTCATTCTTAATCTATTATTTTAGCCCCCTTCCCAAAATATAAGTCTTTGTAAAATGATGGATTTGCTTTTGAAGAGAGCAGCATTGCAATGAACACAAGCAGAAAAGGCTTCAGTCCAGGGGAGGATTGAAGATGGCTCTGCCAAAACAGAGCCAATAACATGGTAAAGATCTATGAATCAGTGAGAAGACTGATTTCTTGGAACCTTTCCAGATAAGGAGAGGAAAAAGAGAGATCCAGCATATGTTCTCTAGATGGCTGCTCCTGAAGAGGAAACCACAGGATAGCGGGTTTCTGTGGGTTTAAGTGCTGGGAGTTAATGGGATCAGTCATCTAGTTGGCAACACTAAAGGACACTAAGTTAGCAAATCTCATTTTCTAACCACTTTTGGAAATTGCTCATTAACTACTTTTATGCTATTAGAGACCTTTGGAATGACAAGTTGGAAAATGCTGGTGAATCTGCCTTTAATCCCCAATGAAAGAAAATTTTAATCATAAACTTAAGAATGTAAAGAATCTGAAATAAACAGGAAAATGCAGAATAAGATTTTGATTTTAGAAAGTTATAAATGGACTCGGGATCCAGATAAAATTGGAATATTGAATCTTTTACAATAAAATTTTGGAATTAATTAAAAAAACAGCTTTTCATGGGAAATAAATTCTGTTTTGGTTTTTAAAGGCATTTTGTACAACAAAATGGAGGATGTTAGGTCTGACTGACTACCTGTATGATATGGATGAATACTAAAGGAACACCCTACATAACTTTATTGGATACTTGTTTGTTTTATTTATTACTTATATATTTATTAGTTATTTATTGGTTAAATTTATTAGTTATTTATTTTTATCACCCACATTCCCAAAGGCTCTGGTCTTCTTTTTGAAGTATGGACTGCATATTGCTAAGTTCCCATCTCTCCTGGAGAATGCCAGTTGGAAGAGATTTATGACAATAAAGCATCTAATCTGGAGATTCAAGATCCACCAAATCAGTGTTGGGATTACGCTGGTTCGCACTGATTGTTAATTAAATTAATTGGTTTAATTAAATTAACTGGTTGTTAAATTATTCAGTTGTTAAATTGCCCACCCCACCCCCTCACACTATCAAAGTAGATCCTGGGTGCTGCACTGCAATGGAGAAATAGGCAACGGAGAGGCCAGTGAAAGTGAAGGAGAAGGTCGCTTTCCTTCCTCCTTCCCTTGTGTCGGCTACTCCGTTGCCCATTTCTCCATTGCAGCGCAGCACCCAGGATCTACTTTGATTGAGGGGAGGCGTAATTCATCCAGAGTCAGGTTGGCCATCACTGGAGGCTCATCCCACATATGCGGCGGAGCTGGAGGACAGGGATGGGCCACGCCTCCCACAACAGCCAACCTGACCCTGGGAGAACCGGTTGTTAAATTATTTGAATTGTACCACTACCAAAGCTTTGCTTGCCTGCTAAGGAATCATACAAAAGAAAGCTCTATTATTCAGATTATTGTAGTGTAAAAATTAAGACCTTCAAGCTAATGTTGCTACTTCACCTCTTTCTGCAGCTTCACTTACCTAACCATTCAGCAGGTCAATTTTGTGATAATTGGAGAGGTGCGACTTCAGGTGTGTCTCCATGCAGATTTTTCTTCCCTTTCGAGCTATAATTAAATAAGCGAAGGGGGAAGATTGATGCTGTTTGAAAAAAAATTGACTGAAGGAAAATAACAAAGGCCAGAAAGTTTATCCCATAAGGAGTATCCCAAAAGAAATGTTGGTGTTTTTCAGATACCTCTGATACGATCAGATGGTGCATTATGTACCTCTATACAGACACCCAACACATTCCTATACTTTATTGAGAACTACTCATATTATTATATAGCTTAGTCCAGTAAACTTTACGAAACTTTGGAATTAGGTGCCGGTAAATAATGCTCAGGATCTTCTTTCTAATACTAATATTTATTAGTATTATTAATATTAGATCCTCTTAGATGGACAAATGGAAAGTAATCTACATTTAGAACTTCACTAAAATATCCAATTCCTACCATCTCCAATACTAACCTTTATGTTTAAGTTTAACAGACTTTAACTTCCTTAATCAATATGTGAACTCAAATGCTGTTAAGTTATGCAATTATCTACTGGTTGGGGCATTTCTAGTTTTAGGTGCAATTCTTAATCAAAGAATTTGTCCCAAGTTAGGGAAGATAAAATACCAAAAACAAATGCTAACACATCTGGAAACTAGGAAAATTGTATAGATATGTACATCTTTCTGTATATAAAACACATTTTATACAAATATGCTTATGACTCTTCAAATAAGCTTTTTCTTAAAACGTTTTAAAAATCCATAAATTGATGGGAAGAAACTAAACTCTGTTTTAAAAATGTGAAGCCATAAAGGTAAAGGAAAGGTTCCACTTGCACATATGTGCTAGTTGTTCCCGACTCTACAGGGCAGTGCTCGTCTGCATTTCAAAGCCAAAGAGCCAGCGCTGTCTGAAGACGTCTCCGTGGTCATGTGGCCAGCATGACTAAATGCCAAAGGCACACGGAGTGCTGTTACCTTCCCACCAAAGGTGGTCCCTATTTTTCTACTTGCATTTTTTACGTGCTTTCGAACTGCTAGGTTGGCAGAAGCTGGGATAAGTAATGGGAGTCATCCCATTACGCAGCACTAGGGATTCGAACTGCTGAACTGCCGACCTTTTGATCAACAAGCTCAGCGTCTTAGCCACTGAGCCACTGCATCCCTTAGCAAGCCATACGGTTTCCTAATTCTTGGGGAATCCCATTCATACCTTTGTTTTTCAATGTCCTCTATCGTTTCTGGCAGGCGGATGCCTCGGGTCTCCGGGAGAAAGAAGGCTGATGAACCACACAGCACTGCCATGGCAAAAGATGCCGTTTGGGGCAGAGGCTTCCATATGCTATCCAACAGGAAGACAAGTGGAGCCACACATGCCCCTAGACGGGCTATGAAGGAGCAGTATCCTTGTCCACTCTGTCTAGAAGCAAAGGCAGAAAGCAATCAAAAAGAGGTTGGAAGCTGAATTCAAGGGACACAAATGATAGGCTGGCTTTAAGTCCACATCTGCATCCCTCTTTTTATCTATTAAGAACACAGTACACATTATAAGAGGAGCAAGCTAACGAGCAGAAGGTAAATACATCCTGATATTAAGAGGTTTGATAATGTACTCAATCCAAATGCATACACAGTTGCTCATTGAAGTTTTTTTTATGCCACCATTAAGTAAAAACAATTGAATTCAATCATTAAGAGATTTCTGTTTCAATTAAAAATAATAGTTCTGAAAGAAAAGGGTTTTTAATTGATTAGGTGGTGATGTGATTATTCAGCCCTGCAGTTTCAGGCCCCAAATGGCCTTGCATGATCTTAAATGCGGAAAAGCAAATTTTTAAAAGGTATTAGAGGGAGGGTATGCACACACCAGGATCTAGGATTGTAGGAAATAGCAGTAGCTCTTTTCAGTCAGACCAAGTTCTTCTTGATCCATCATTTGATAAATGCAACCAATTATTCATCTCGAAAGCATCTCCTTCTTACCTAAGAATGGTGGGATAGAGTTCTGAAGAATACAAGAAGAGTACAGTGAAGGAAGCTTCAGAAAATCCTTTGCCTATGATGGCAATCACTGAACGCAAAATCCCCTGAGCTAGGATGAGAAACAGGGTACAGTTGACATCTTGGGAAGCACGAGTTCATACTGTGTCATTACCACCAATGTTTAACTGACCCTAGCACTTGTTGCCTGAGAAGACAGAAATGGGACCTATCAGTCTACAACAAACTTGGCAACTTTAAGACATACTGTATGGACTAACTCCTAAAACTGCTGGCTGAGAAATACTGGGAGTTGAAGTCCACATGTCTTAGTTGCCAAGTTTAAGAAACACTGTGCTACAATGAAAGCTGACCATGTTCATCCTATGTGAGTAGTTATAGATATAGACCGACCATTTGCTTGCTTCACCACATCAATAATCCTTTTGCACATTTAGAGCCTGAAGTTGGGAGGGTTGCCTTTGTGGTTTGGGCTGCATTTTCTAGACTCAAAAGCTGAGGTGACGTGAAAGCTTTCACCCAAATAATCTTGACACAACTGAGCTCAGCATGAGCTGAGAACAACTAAGAGAGGTTTTAATATATCCTGTAAACTTACCCTAAAAGTCACTATCCTGACACGGATAATGTGTGACAAAATATAAATTTTGCCACTAAAGCTATAGCATCAGAAATCTTTGAAAAAGCATTTTGTTTTCATTTAAAATTTCAGCAAAGTCACTCAAACCTCCTCCTCTGATCTGATGATCTACAAAAGACACTGAGTTTAAAGGTAATGAGTGATGTGGATGCTGTCAGTAAATGTGAAATGAATCACTTTTTCAAAATCAATATTAATTGTATTTGATTGAGAATTATCTGAGATAAATATGCAAATACAGGTATGGAATAATGCAGCTAGTTTGCTGTATCCAGCAAAAAATATCTAAAAGGCAATAGTTCTACCCTTAAAATCAATAAATTTGAAATGGACTTGAATGGATTTGAAATGAATTTCAACATGATCTAAAGGCCCTCCCTTTGTACACAGTTTCTTACTTGTCTTAATTGCATCTGATATCTTTCAGATATTATCAGTGGTAGGATTCAGCCAGTTTGCACCGGTTTGGGAGAACCGCTAGCTAACTTTTTGAGCAGTTTGGTGAACCGGCTGTTGGAAGAAACAGCCTTTTGTTTTTCCCTCCTTACAGAGTTAATCCTGTAAGGAAGGCAGGAAGGAGACATTCTGGTATGCCTCTGTGTGTTGTTTCTAGCCTAATCCTTCTCTTTATTGCCCTGCTTAAGTGTTTTCAGAAACTGCCGCTATGGTTAAGTCTTGTTACATTGTAGCAACTAATGGTTCTTGGCAGTACACCCAGACTTTCTGTAGCCTGAGCTTCTCCTGAGGTTTTTTTTTCTTTGGGGGCTTGACTTTCTTAAAGGGGAAGGGTTATTTTAAGTTTTTTTAAACTGCTTTACTGGTTCCTGGCACTGTCCTTTTCGGGTGTACTTCCAAGAGGCAGGGTGCAAGCTTGGTACTCTGATTTTTTACTACCTTTCTGGGGGCATGTGATCTTTCCTTAAATCTGGATGATTCCCTTAGGACCATGATGGTGAATCTATGGCATGCGTGCCAAAGGTGGCATGCAGCGCCCTTTCTGTGGGCACACAAGCTGTCAGCCCAGTTCAGCTCTGCCATGTGTGCACCTCCCACCAGCCAGCTGGTCTTCGGGTCTCTGCCGCACATGCGCAGGGAACAGAGGGCATGTGGGGGGCCATGTACACATGCACAGGGGGATGGGGCACATGCGCATAACTATGCACGCATTGAATTTGGGGGTTCGGGCGGGTTGGACACTTGGTCCGGAAAAGGTTAGCCATCACTGCCTTAGGATATCTTTAAGTGGTGTAAATGGATCTAAGGATTGCTTCTCCTGGGTGGGAAAGGGTGCTTTGTCAGTTCAGTGAGCACAGGAGTCTCTTATCTATGGGGATTCTTCAGTCATCCAGGTCATGGTTGTCCCAAAAGTGCTTTTTTCAAGAGGCAACTGGACTTCCTTGGTTTCCAGAAAGTCCAGTTGCCTCTTGAAAAAGCACCTTTGGGAGAGGAATCTCTTGCATTGCTTCAGAGTGGCCTAGGCACATGATTGCTTACTGATAAGATTTTTAAAAAATAGGAGGTAGGGGTGTGGATCCGCCCTCCAATTCATTTTAGTTTTCTCTAATAATAATAAGGCTTAGTAACATGGCATGAGGCTTGAAGTTTATTTAGATTTCTATGACATGTACTATTTTTATTGTGATCCTGACAAGCTTGGGAGGCCAGAGACTTGAACCTGGTCCCCTATATACTTCATTAATTTGTCTCTTTAGCTCAGCATTTTGTAGCCCAAGTGTGCCCACCCACTTTCTGGAGAGGTTAAATGACCTCTCTGCTAAATGGTTTCACTTTATGAGCAAGAGTTGGCTGCTGATAGTTATTGATAGTCATCGTTGCATTTTAATTATTCTAATTCCTCAAGGTGCTCTGGCACCCTGCCTGATTTGTAACTCTGGGTTGCAGGTATTGCTGATGAAAAGAAATGTATTCAGAAAAAAGGTTTAGGTTTCCATGATGGCTGTAACTGTCATTGATCTTCAGTGTGTATTCTGCCATTTCTAATCTAAAGATTGGTATTTAGGGCAGCTTTCTGCAAGCAAAGAAGCTTTTTGTATTTTTGTACAGTTAATCCTTGACTTTCAACAGTTCATTTAGTGAACATTCAAAGTTACAATGGCACTGAAAAAAGTGACTTACGACCATTGCAGCATCCCCACAGTCACATGATCCAAATTCAGATTGTTGAAAACTGTCTCATATTTATGACAGTTGTAGTCTCCCAGGGTCATGTGGTCTCATTTTGCAACCTTCTGACAAGCAAAGTCAATAGGGAGGCCAGATTCACTTAACAGCCATGTTACTAATTTAACAACTGCAGTGTTTCACTTAACAAATGTGGCAAGAAAAGTTGTAAAATGGGGCAAAATTAACTTAATAAATTTCTCTCTTAGCAACATAAATTTTGGGTTCAATTGTGGTCATAAGACAAGGAGAGGACAGGCGAGGTGAGGACGGGCGTGACAAGGAGGGGCTGGGAGGGGAGGGGTGAGGTGGGGCCAGGCGTGGCAAGGCAAGGTGAGTGACATCGAGTTGGCCACGCCCACCCAGTAACATGAAAACCCAGCCACGCCTACCAGCTAGTCATTAGGGCAGAGAACCGGTTGTTAAATTATTTGAATGGATATTCCACTGGATATTGTGTCCAGAATTAGAGGTCATCTTGTTGGGGAAAGTTGCTCTCTTGAGTAAAAATTTGTTTGGAGAAATTAATTTCACTAATATTTACTCAATCACCCCTGCTGGAGTGACCAGTCCCCAGATATGTGAGATAGATCAGTGTTTCTCAACCTCAGCAAATTGTTGTCAGGGATATTCTGAGAATTGAAGTTCATGTTGAATTTGAGAAACATGAGGGGGAGAGAGAAAGAAAGAGAGAGAGAGAGAGAGAGAGAGAGGGAGGGAGAGATGAAACTCTAACTAACTAAAACTACTTACATGTTGGGACTATAATGTTGATTCCCATACATAACCCACTTAGGATGAGGGCCCAGGCTTGGCTTTTCCTTCGTCCAATTCGATTTACCATAACAAAAACAAGGAGCTTGGCAGGAACCTCAATGAACCCAAAGACAAACTGGGTCATATACATTCCCAGGCCAAAACCAGTGATGTTCATGCTAATGATATAATAGCAAAAAGCTGATCCAAACCTGAAGAGTAAAGAGATGAAGAGATGTACAAAGATACCCCAGAATAAGACCTCAGCAGGACAAAAAATGTCCAAGAGAACTCAAGAAGTGTGCCTCACCACACAGCTGCCATGCAAAAGGAAATCCTTCTCAGCATTGGTGTTCGGAAAAGACTGATGTAGGAATAGTTCCCATCTGACTTCTGGCTTATCATTGCTGCAGTCTTGCGTAAGCTCTGAGAAAGGGAAGTTGAGTTTTAGAGCAGCCACTTATGAAATAAGTATTTTATGAAATAAAATAACCAAGAAATAAGAACAGAAATGTTTTATCAAAAAACAAACACACACTAAAACTGCATTTGCAAAATTATTTGTAGAGCTATAAATCTACTTATTTGATCCACGTAGTTTCAAATACATGGGAATATAATATATCATCCAAATGGGGAAGATAATGTTTTGTAGAAATGTGTATTGGCTCAGTTTGTTGTTCATGGTTGGACAACAATTTTAAAAATTACACATTTTACACAGGAGTTTGATCCTGTGACTCCCGAGGATGTGGACAGGGTTCTGGGTAAGATTAGTGCCGCCACGTGTTTATTGGACCCGTGTCCCTCCTGGTTGGTGCTGGCCTCCCGGGAGGTTACACGAGGCTGGCTCCAGGGGATTATAAGTGCTTCTCTGAGTGAGGGTGCCTTTCCTGCCGCCTTGAAAGAGGCGGTAGTGAGGCCCCTCCTCAAGAAGCCTTCCCTGGACCCGGCTGAATTAGCCAACTATCGTCCAGTCTCCAACCTTCGTTTTGTGGCGAAGGTTGTTGAGAGCGTGGTGGCACGACAACTTCCCCGGCACCTGGATGAAGCTATCTATCTAGACCCGTACCAGTCGGGCTTCAGGCAGGGGTACAGCACTGAAACGGCATTGGTCGCGTTGGTGGATGATCTCTGGAGGGCTCGGGACAGGGGTTGCTCCTCTGTCCTAGTCCTATTAGACCTCTCGGCGGCTTTTGATACCATCGACCATGGTATCATGCTGCAGCGGTTGAGGGGGTTAGGAATAGGGGGCACCGTTTTGCGGTGGTTCTCCTCCTTCCTCTCCGACCGCTCGCAGTTTGTGTTGGCAGGGGGACAGAGGTCGACCTCGAGGCATCTCGCATGGGGAGTGCCGCAAGGGTCGGTCCTCTCGCCTCTCCTGTTCAACATTTATGTGAAGCCGCTGGGTGAGATCATCCGTGGTTTTGGGGTGAAGTGTCATCTGTACGCTGATGATACTCAGCTGTACATCTCCACCCCAGACCACCCCAACGATGCCCTTGATGTGATGTCCCGCTGCCTGGAGGCCGTGCGGGCCTGGATGGGGAGGAACAGGCTCAGACTCAACCCCTCCAAGACCGAGTGGCTGTGGCTTCCGGCGCCCCGATGTAGTCAGCAGGTGCCATCGCTGACTATTGGGGGTGAATCTTTGCCCCCCACAGAGAGGGCTCGCAATCTGGGTGTCCTCCTGGACGCACGGCTGTCTTTAGAAGAGCACATGACGGCCGTGGCCAGGGGGGCCTTTTATCAGGTTCGCCTGATTCGCCAGTTGCAGCCCTTTCTGGATCGGGACGCCTTGCGCACGGTCACTCACGCCCTTGTCACCTCCCGGTTGGACTATTGTAATGCTCTCTACATGGGGCTCCCCTTGAAGAGCACTCGGAGGCTCCAACTGGTCCAGAATGCGGCCGCGCGGGTGGTTATGGGTGCAACCCGTTGCGCCCACGTGACACCCCTCCTGCGCGAGCTGCACTGGCTCCCAGTGGTCTTCCGGGTGCGATTCAAGGTGTTGGTTACCACCTTTAAAGCGCTCCATGGCATAGGACCCGGGTACCTTCGAGACCGTCTTCTGCCACCAATAGCCTCCCACCGACCAGTCCGCTCCCACAGAGAGGGTCTCCTCCGGGTGCCATCAGCCAAGTTATGTCGGCTGGCGACATCCAGGGGGAGGGCCTTCTCTGTGGGAGCTCCAGCCCTGTGGAATGAACTGCCCCCCGAAATACGAAAGATTTCCGACCTCCGGGTGTTTCGCTGCGCTCTGAAGACCCTGTTGTTCCGCCAGGCAGGGTTACTAACATAACGTTTTAAATTGGGGTATTTTAAATTTCTGGGATTTTAATTGGAGCCTAATTATTTAATGATTTTAAATTTTAAATTGTTGTCGTGTTTTTTGTGTTTTTAAATAGGCTGTACACCGCCCTGAGTCCTTCGGGAGAAGGGCGGTATAGAAATAAAATTATTATTATTATTATTATTATTATTAAAAATCAACCTTATTTTAAAAAATATCTAAAATTACTAATAGCCAAATCCAAATGGAATGGAGAATGAAAAAGTGGGGGGGAGGGGGGAATCCAAATTTAATAAAGGAATGGATAGCCCATGACTCATTTGTCCATCTTATCTTCATAGCAGTTGGGGGAATTGGGGAGGGATCAATTTCATCTCTTGAGTTTTTAGGTACTGATGTCTTGACATACCTCAGGATTTATTTTGTCAGCAAATTCTTTCTTTCTGTTCATCCTGGCACATCTTTTTAAATGCCTGTGAGCTTCTTTCAGCTTCCCTTTAATTAACAACCACCTGGCAGATTCTGAGAGCCACCTAGTAAAGGGAAGGATGAAAAAAAGACCATAATCTCTGTCTGTAACCAGCAGCTCAACATGCTGGTTGGGGAATTCTGGGAGTTGAAATCCACACATTTTAAAGTTGCCATGTTTGAAAAATACTGCTCCAGCTAAAACTCCTCAAGTTGTATGGCTATGTCATTCTTATCATGAATATGATGGGCAAGTATGGAGCTGACCAAAGTATTCAGTTACATACATTGTCTTGTTGTAATCATAGCAACTTTATCAAAGCTTCCCATAAATCTGAAAATGTGCAGCCTGGATGTTTTCTTGCTCATGTAAAAAAAAACTTTTCATATGTTTTCTAAGGAAAAAGCTATTTGCAGATGTATATAGGTTTCTTCCAGCTTATTTAAAATAATAGAAGCACCCTGAGCTTGATAGATAGAGATCTTCATGGAATCATAGGGTTGGAAGCAGAGGTGGGATTCAGAAATTTTAGCAACTGGTTCTCTGCTCGGTTGCTGGGTGGGTGTGACCATGATGGGCGCGGCCTACTCAGCCTCCTGCACCACAGGGGGCTGTTTTTACCCCCCCAAACTCCAGAGGGGGGTAAAAAACGGCCTCCCCCAGGCTCCAGAGGCTCTCCAGAGGCTGGAAATGGGCCCATTTTCAGACTTCTGGTACTTCCGGTAGGCCCGTTTTTCACCCTCCCCAGGCTCCAGAGGTTTTCCTTGAGCCTCCAAGAGGGAGAAAATGGCCTCCCCCAGAAATGGGCTCGTTTCTGGACTTCCAGAACTTCCGGTAGGCCCATTTTTCACCCTCCCAGAGCCTCCGTGTGGGCCCTGCACTTACCTGGCATCCAAACTGGGCTGCGTGGAGACTCCTGGGAGGGGTGGGGTGGGGTGGGTGGGGTCAGCCAGTCCTTGCAACTACCGGTTCGGTGAACCAGATTAAAATTAACATCTGGTTCCACGAACCGGTCCAAATTGGCTGAATCCCACCCCTGGTTGGAAGGGACATTGTAGATCTAGTTTAATCCCCTGCCCAATGCAGTGAGCTGGTGGAGAAGAGAAGAGAAATTTTTTTTCAGTGTTTTCTTTGAAGCTGATAACAACTCAAGGTTGACTGTCGTGGCATAGCAGGAGGATGGCATCATCGGACGTTGGACCCCACATGACCCTTGGGGGGAATGTGGATTGGATAATTTTCGCTGGACAGTTGGGGGAAGGATTTTGGGGATGCTTTCTATATGTAATTTTCACGCCTTTTGCCTCAGACCTTGCTTTTCTTTGGTTGCATTCAGTTCATACTCAGTAAAAGTACCTTTCTCTATGAAAATGGAGTCGGGGTTTTTCTTTCTTGAGTATTGAAAGGAGGCACACCTGACAGACATCTAAAATTCATTCATATTCAAAAATATTCATAATTATGTTTATACTTATATCTGTTATCTAATACATGCTTGACAAAATTAATAAATAAATAAAAGATAAATAAATAAAAGACCACAGAAGAAAATGTTCTGCTTACTTGTATGAGCAATGCCTAATCCTTGTTCAACCAGATTGTTTTTGTGTTCTTAGTGAACCATTACTGTGTTATCGTTTATTTAAAAATGTCAAACACTGGGTCATTAGCACTTGAGACAAGCTGCTAGATCACTCATTTCAGTTTATAGCAAACATGCTAGGCACAAATTAACATCCTTCTCTTAATATTTTAATTTTGGGGCTTTTCCAGATTGCAAGCCACGAGCCAAAGTTGGTGAATCCCTTTGATGTACTTTGCTCCAACTTTCTGTGGAAGGTTTTTCTAGAGAGTAAACACCCATTTCTTGCTCTTTTAACAATCCACACCTAAAAATGGGTGGAGCTTCAATTGCTTCAATCTTGAGTTTTTTGTCCCTGCCCTGAGCGTATCCCTGATGCTGCCCCTTTCATAGAAACAAAGTTGGCTTCTGATGAGCTGCCTTCAACTTTGTGTTTCCAAAGTCCCACCAGTAAAAGCACTATGAATCCTTTCACCGCCATTCAAATACCCCAAATCTTGGTCGCACTGGTCTAGGACTTGGCCCGAAGTCAAAACAAAACAATTTTTCCTTTACAAGTTTAACCTGACTTTGCAAAGGAGTTTTTGAGAAATAACATTTTTACCCACCGCATGGAGACGATGCCCACTATACATGGAAGAGAGGTGGTGAGAAGCAGCCAGTGCCAATCCCGCACCAAATAGGCAATCAGAGCAAGAAGCATATTTCCAAAACTCCAGAAGAGACTGGTTATAACCGCTGATATGGTGCGATGTTCTATATCCACCCATTCCATGCCTAGAAGATAGAAAAAGTGCTCAATAGGCCCATCTGCGCAGAGGTCTCCCTTTTATTGGAAGAGGAGGACAAAGCTAGATATTGCAGCACATAGGATGCATTTTTATAGCCCTTCATCTTAGCCTTTGATTCTCCGGGAACTGAGATGTCATTTGTCCTTCTCAGATTTGCAGCTTTCTTGATCAGCTTCTTTTTAAGTTCTTGCATTCCTTTTCTAGATGGTTGTTTTCATTGCTGGTTTATCTTGTTCTGAGCTTATAATTTGATTTCAGATTTTGTTTTACATCAAGAATTGCAAACTTTTAGGGCCAGTGAGTACATTTGAAACACCCCGCGCTTCACTGTTGTTGTTTTTTAGAATTTACAACTATTAAGAAAACCCTCATATGTTATCCTATCTATCGATGGCTTTGGACCTGGTTATCTACAAAACCGCATTCTGCCACCGATTGCCTCCCACCGACCGGTACGCTCACACAGAGAGGGCCTCCTCAGGGTGCCGTCAGCCAAACAATGTAGACTGGCGACCCCCAGGGGCAGAGCCTTCTCTGTGGGGGGCCCTGCCCTCTGGAATGAATTACCCCCGGACATACAAAGGATCCCCAACCTCCGCGCCTTCCATCGTGCAGTGAAGACCCTGTTATTCCAGCAAGCCACTCTGATGGGATAAATGATTTTAATTTGGTTTTAATGGGGTTTTAAAAATTGGTTTTAAAATGAGAGTTTTAAATTCAGCCTATGATTTAATTATTTTAATCTGCTTTTAAATTCTATTTTTGTACATTCTTTTTATTATGGCTGTTCACCGCCCTGAGTCTTTCGGGAGAAGGGCGGTATATAAATAAAATAAAATAAATAAATAAATAAATTTTACCAAGTCAAAATTGGGATTCAAAGGACCCAGAGCTTTTGTATATTTCCTTGGCTTAGAATGTGTTTTTCAGTCCTGCAACTGAGGACTGCATCACACTGTTTTTCACTCATAGATTTCAGTTTGTAAGGATACTATATATCTGCAGGGCATGATAAGGGAATGCTATCAAAGCTCCACTTATTTTTTATTTGCAATCATATCAACCATCTTGCCCTTTGACCAGTGGTGGGATGCTGCCAGTTTAATAACTGGTTCGGTGATCGCACGCTTCTCGCACACAGTTTTAAAAATACTAACCTTCTGTGTTACCACTTGGGAGTAATACAGCTGAGGCAAGGCAATTCGCTCTGCCGCACCAATCAGCTGCGAAGATAAAGGTAAGTAAAGCACAGGGGCGGGTGGGCAGGCCGATCTGATCATCAGAGAGAACCGGTTCGCTCCCAGCTGATCGTTGGAGCTAAACGGTTCACCCAAACTGGTCCGAACTGGTAGAATCCTACCCCTGCCTTTGACCATATGCTGCAGACACCTCTGATCCATAACTACATACAATACACTTGATCCTTTCCTCTTTCCACAAGAAGCATGGAGAAATCAAGTGCATATTTCTTATCCATGAACTCCTTTGCACAATGGATTTATCCAAAGCTACTTTTTAAAGGCCCACCTTGGCCTTCTTTTTGGCTTACCCAGAGGTATCACGATGATGGAGAGTCCACAGATAGACATTCCTGTCAGAGTCCGTGTCACTGCGAACATACTATAGGAAACTGAGGCAGAACTCAGTACCCCAAAGATGAGGGTGCCCAAGTAAGACACCAGGAACATTCTTTTCCGACCAAACCTGAGGAACCATAGAAAGAAACATTATTGCTGTGATCAAGGAGGTAACTTGCAAGTCATCTCCAGATTCCTACTAAAGGTCATGAGAGTTGCAAATTGCCCTTTCAGAGAAATTGGCTAATAGTTCTCTTTTTATCCAAGCAAGTAAAGAGTTGCTCAAGGAGCAGAATCAACACTAGACAACAAGCTTCACATAATAATATTTATCATGGCAAAAAAGCAATATCTTGTATTTTAGACAAGTCCGTTTTCACCTGCCCAAGAACAAAAATAGAGCACAGAAATTATTTTGGAGCAGTTACTAGGTTCCTGTAGAATTTGTACACAAGTGGAAATATATGGATTACATTTGAATAAATGAAAATAAATAAATGCATGTCGAAGGGTATTACCCATTTAATTTGTTCTTGACTTATTTTGTATTTACTGTGCCATTACATCTGTGCTAGTCTTTTCATGCAACTTAAGTAATTGGTCCTTCATAGGTATTGTTGAGGACAAATGGGAGCTTGTTCCCCAGATGAAAAATTGGAAGCTAAGGTCTTCATGCTTCTGCCCTTATAAAAGTATGGGATAAAATGTCAAGCGCATGTCAAGAGACAGGATGTACTCAGGTGTGCTTTCTGTGGATACAAAAATCATTCAAGACTATAACATTTTTTACTATGGGGAGGGAGTACATTTTGGTCTAGTGCTTGCAAAAGAATAATATGGATATATAGATGCCTTTGAGTCAGTCTTGATGTCTGGTGACTTGCGAGTCTAGGACAGCTCATCACAAGCAACTCGCCAAGGAACAACTCAACGTGAGACAAGAGTTACACTAATATGGAAGAAATGATGGAATAGAACCACTAAAAAGAGATGCAAAAGGAGGGAAAAATGATATGTGAATGACAAAAATTAAAATATGTTTTAATTAATTTAAATAATTAAAGTGAATTGTTGAATTGTCACACAGGGAGTTGGCCCATGGCGAGTTGGCGGCAGCAAGTTGTCCCATTCCAGCCTGGAGTATTCCCTGCAGTTTTCCTGACAAGATTTCAGAAACGATTTGCCTTTGCATGCTTCCTAAAGCTGAGAGAGAAAGTAACTAGCCCAAGGTCAGTCCAGTGACTTTGTGCTTAAGGCAGGATTAGAACTCATGATCTCCTGGGTTCTGGGTTGATGCCAAATTATCTTCTAATATGAATGTAAACGAAGACCAGTTGCCTAGATCCTCATCTCCAAATAGATCTTTGGGGGAATGCTGTGGTTCCTAAAAGCTTTTGCCTTTAGGTTTCATTTAGCTTTCCCCTTGCTGTTTGAATCAGTCTGTTTCCAACACTGTTTCTGTTATTCCCACGCATATATCATTGTTCGATGGAATGAGGAAAGTTACATTTACATCAACAGGTTCCCTCTGGGGGAGCATTCCAAAAAGATCTAGCTATTTCCTGGCTATTGCAAAAATGTCCATCTGATCATATGTCTGACAAAGGGCTCATATATTAGCACTGCCAGACTTAGACTGCAACCACTAGGTGGCAGCAAACATTTAGTAAAATAACAATAATTTGCTCCCATCTAGTGGTTGCCTAGAGTTTTACACCCTAGGTTGGTAGAGTTGTTCATAGGTTTTAGCAATAATATTGTTAATTTATTTTAGAGTAAATTCATTTTAAAGGAAATCAGATTTTTATCTATCTAGTATGGGGTTGCAAGTATGGATTTTGCAAAGCTGTTCTAAAGTTGGGCTGAAAATTGAAATGGGTGACCAAAAGAGCTGTGTTTTTATATTTGATGCAATTTGTATTGCCTGCACATGAACTGTTACAACATCTCAAATGCCCACATATCTAGGTAACATAATGGAAGAATGAAACCAAATTACCTGTCAGAGAAGTCTCCAAAGATCACAGCACCAAACATCACCCCGAAGAAGAAGAAAGTAGCAGTTGCTTGGTTCAAGCTTTTACGCTCACAGACCAGATCCCACTGGAAAATAGACATTCATTTCATGATTTCCTTTTTCAGTAGCCCAATAAGTTCATGATAATTCATGAAGTAGTCCAATAAATTCATGATAATTCATGAAGATTTAAAATATTTTAAATTAATAATTCCAACTTTGGGTTGGATCCTAAGGTACCATTCTGGTGGTAGATGTTATTATGCCATAATGAAATCCCAATATCACCACGGCGGGCCCTATCATTAACCAAAGTGAATGGAAGTTATTGGGCAAGGGTAAAATAAATGGAGTTTGACAATCACATCCAGCCTTTCCTGCATCCCTAAAGTAAACTGCTGCATTCAGATTTTGTGGATGCTGCTGCTCCATAGTCTGTGGTGAAGAAACATTCACTGTTAGTTAAATATTCAACTACTGTGGCTTTTCTACATAGAATGAGAGGAAGACACCATGTTCTTAGTTGGTTCAGAATCCAATAGATCTTAGGCTACCCCTGCATTCACCTTGACAACTGTTGAACACTAATCCCTCATTATACTTGCACAAGGGGGAGCACTGAAGATTCCTGTATAGCAGTACTGTACTTATATAATTTTAAATCAGGGAATTATCAAAAAGTCACAACTTACAAAATATACAAAGCAGTGGTGGAATTCAAATTTTTTTACTACCAGTTCTGTGGGCATGGCTTGGTGGGCGTGGCAGGGGAAGGATGCTGTAAAATCTCCATTCCCACCCCACTCCTGGGGGAAGGATATTGCAAAATATCCATTCCCATTCCACTCTGGGGCCAGCCAGAGGTGGTATTTGCCAGTTCTCCGAACTACTCAAAGTTTCCACTACCGGTTCTCCAGAACCTGTCAGAACCTGTTGAATTCCCACCCCCACCCCCGATACAAAGCCACTTTTACAGAAATCACCACATTTTATTAGAAATTAAATTAGCAGTTTAGATCCAATTTTGGTTGGTAGAATAGGCAGAAGCAGCCTTTCTTTCCACATGTTAAACCAAGGTGATGATCCTTCTTTAACTATTATCCAAACACCATAACATTCATTCAAACTAATAATAATATAATCATCTAATACTCTTCAAAATAACTTTCTGCCAGTGTCTTGATTTTAGCATAAGGGGAAGGGTCGGCACTCAGTCTATTTTTAGAGATGCCAGGGAAGGTATTTTAAATTTAAGTGAATTTATTTTCCATAAAGCTTCTGAGATGCATCAGATAATTTTCCAGGAATGAAGTTTGCTATGCAATGATAAACCATTAACTCTCTAACACTTAAGGAACTTAATTGAAGTGTTGAGTAAATCAGGCATTAAATCTGCTAGGCAGTGTGTTAATAATATTTGAAATGGGCACTCAGTTCAGTCCACTAGAGATCCATGGAGAATAAATTCCTCAAAGAGTGTGAGTTATGTCCACTAATGACCTTGTTGGTGGTACAGAGATGCGAGCAGGGGAAACCTATTGTAGATACACTGTGTTGATTGACTTCCTTGAAGCATCTGTTTGGTCACTGTAAGAAACAGAATTCTAGACTAAATCAGCCTTTGCTCTGGATCAACCAATCTTCTTTGGCAGGCATTTTTCTAATTATGGGATAGAAACCAATAGAGCATTTCAGATTCTTGTTGCTTCAGTGGGAATGGGTGACTGACAAATCAATAGGAAAAAGAAAACACCATAGAATAAGCTAGAGATAACAGGAGGAGAAGAGCAGCAGGTAAGAAATTTACTTTCTCAGACTGTCATGGAAGAATTATTGTTTACTACAAATGAAGAACAAATGCACTATACAAAAAGGTTTTCATGCCCATCCCCCAAACTGTTGCCAGATCTCAGAATAAATTGTGTTCTCATAACAAACTAAACTCATAGTTAATTGACATATGGTCTACTGAATTAATCTAATTTTCTGGGCTCACACAATGCACGGCCATAACTCACCTTCAATGTTGTACATGCATTAGAAGACTGGGACATGCATTTTCTATAAAATAAATGAATTAAGTGAACCACAAGAGCTGATTTCATGTTAAAATTGTTGACTAGTTTATGGTCTTGTGTGTCATGTGAACGCAGCCATTAAGTCATTTGTCAAAAGTGAAAGATTTTCAGTGAACACAAAGGAAGCATATCCCCTCACCCTACCTCAAACACATACAGGCACTCAAAGTTTTCTGGGAACAATATCATATCATAACAGCACATACTCTTAAGGGCTTGCCCAAAGGACATGACCAGCCTATTAATAGGACCCAAACTGCAGTGGTATGTATGTTAGGAAAAGTATATACAAAAATTCTATGTATTGGGTGAAAAGGCACATGTGCATAGGCATGAATTTTCATAAACTGAGGTTGAATGATGACAAATAAATTTAAGATTGGTGAAATGAGAAACTGAGCAAGAGTGAACATGGTATATTCCTTATGCATGAGAGTTACATTTTCCAGAAGCAACATGATTGGAATAGCACCATGATGTTGAACCTATGGCACACATAGCCATATCAGTGGGCACGTGAGCTCAGCTCTGGCACGCAAATGCGCGCCAGCCATCTGATTTTCAGGCCTCTGGGCCCATCAGAAGTAGGGAAACAAGTTGTTTCCCTTCCTCCGGAGGGCCTTGGGGTGGGGGGAAGGAAGGCCTGTTTTTCTCTCTCACTTGGCTCCAGAGCCTTTCTAGGAGTCTGGGGAGGGTGAAAACGGCCTCCCCCCACCCCCGGAGGCCCTCCAGAGGCCAGAAATGGCCCATTTGCCAACTTCTGGTGGGACCAACTTTGGCAAACATGCTATTTTTGGCCTCTGGAGGACCTGCGGGGGGTGGGGAAGGCCGTTTTCGCCCTCCCCAGACTCCTAGAGAGGCTCTGGAGCCAGGTGAGAGAGAAAAATTAGCCTACTGGGACATCACGTGCCAGGAGTGGGGGGAGTGGGGAGGTTGCACCCACATGTGCAGGGGTGGGGAGCATAGAATTATGGGTGTGGGCACATGTACGTGCGACACCCCCCCCCTTCCTGGCACGTGATGGCAAAAAGGTTAGCTATCACTGGAATAGCATCTTCTGGAGAATAGACAAAATCAGATAGGACCCTGCTTTTAAGTAGCTAACAATTTCAGTCAAGTAAATTAACAGAGAGATAAGAAGGAGTGGCTATGATTAGTGCAATCTTGCACATTTGGCTAGAAATAAGAATTAAATAAATATGAAACTCCAATATATCTAAGAAGAATGCATACATTCCTCACATGCCCTAACCAAAGATTTTGGAAAAAGTGAGGAGAGGAATAATACAACGATCATTTTCTCTCTCACCCCTTAATATTACATTCTCCTTTTTTATGATGGATTTTCAAAACTAATTTGAAGTTTTACCTGAGTGGCTATTGTGGAAATGAATTGGGACCGATCATAGGTCCATCCATACTGGCATCCCTGGACAGATACATTGGTCAGTTCAAGGGAGGAGTTAAGCAGTAGATGAAACTGAGGTTCAGAAAACATCTCACAGGAACTGAAGGCGCCATTAAAATCCCTTGGAATATTGATGATCAGCACCTCTTCTTTTGTAAGATTGGCAAATTGTTGCTGATGTGGGATGGCACAGTGATGTCCTGGGGTAGCTGCTAGGAAGTTATGCAGCAGGAAATGCAAGGGGAGCAAGAGTCTTGGAAGGCAGAGCAGAAGCAGTGTTAAGATCTGGAATCGCCCAAAGCCTCCGACTTCCCTCAGGAGCTCTTCAAAGTTCATCTTTGCCAAGTCACTTGTTTGCTCATAAGAGCTAAGATGCCAGAGAAGAAAAATCCTGCTGATGTTAGGTTCTATATGAACTAGATGCCATGACTTTTTGCAAAGCCTTTGTGGACTTTGAAATGTAGAATATGTCTTTCCCCCCTCAGCAGAAACTTTGCCAAAAGTTTATTCACAGTGAGAACTGGATGGGGTCAGAACCAGTGAAGTCATAATTACTGAGACATGAAAGATAGAAATCCAACAGAAAAAATAAGGACAGGAAGCTAAGAGATAAGAGAATATTTAACACAATGCGTATTATTGATTGACTAATAATCTTTAATGTTGCCAGAAATCAGGCTGGACATTCAGTATATTCTCCTTTCTCCTTATCTGTAAAATTAAATACTAGCCCAGGCACACAGGCTACCATACTTTCCTATGACCAAGACTTTTCTTTGGGAGCATCTCAAAGAAATGCTTTGGGAGCATGTTCTTGTTCACTTGGACAGAAATAAACAGAAGACAGAAGGGAGATGTCATCAAACACATTGGAAAGACAAAAGCTTGCAAACCAAAGCATAGGAATAGGTTAATTCTCTAAAGAGAGACTTGCTGGTCAGTTCAAACATTTTAATGGGACGTAGTAGATAATGTCCCAGAACTAAATTGTAAGCTAACTGATCACAGTTTAATTTAACAGGTTGTGTAAACTTGTCCCAGGTATTTATTGTTCAATTTTCAACTCAGAAAGCTGAGTTAATTAAGTAAACTAGGGTCACTCACCTTGTTAATCATGTCATGAGAACACAGCCAAATGCTGTCTACTTTATTCCTTATGTATTATACTGATACTTCTTAGGAAAAGAAATTGAGCTCAGAGGGAAAAAAATGTAAACTCAGAATACCCCAAAGTCACATGATCAAAATTCAAATGCTTGGCAACTGGCATACAGGGGTGGATTCTACTCACCTTTACTATCAGTTCGCAACGGGCTGCCTGCGTAACTCTTATGCACATGCACAGAAGCATTCTGATGACATTGGGGTCGGTGGACGGAGCCACCCTCCAGTTTTACTACCGGTTCTATAGAACCGGTCTGAACCGGGGGCAACCCACCACTTCTGGCATATATTTATGACAATTGCAGTGTCCCAAGGTCATGTGATCATCTTTTGCAATCTTCTGTCAAGCAAAGTCAATGGGGAAGCCAGAGTCACTTAACAACCCTGTTACTAACTTTACAACTGCAGTGATTCACTTAACAACTGTGGCAAAAAGGTCATAAAATGGGGCAAAACTCACTTAACAACTGCTTAGCCACAAATATTTTGGCCTCAGTTGTGGTTGTAAGTTGAGGAATACCTGTAATCATTTTTAGTCCCATTTATTCATGGTTCTTGCGCTCAGAGATAAAGGGTTCAATCATCCAATAACTTTAAGGAAGTTCTAACCATACGGAATAATTATTGATGAGGGATTTGGGGAATTAAGACCAATGCATAGGCACATGTGGCACATGTAAGCTGGCTGTCTAATTAAGTATAGACAGTATACCTAATTCATTTCTAAATAAGACCCACTGAAGTAGATCTTGATTTCCTAAAAGCAATTTTACAGCTATGGGCTCCTTCTACAGCTCTTTAAAGTGCTGATATCATAGGCAACATGCAATAAGTAAAGAGCTGGTTCCCTACTTTGGAGTAGTGGGGATTTACCAGGTGATGTCTAGTTAGTGGTGCAGCTGTTGCTTGAGTTAATAGTAGAGGTTGAAGACCCCCATACTCAAGAGAGCAACAAATTGGACTCACAGAGTGAATAGTGGATGGAGCAGTAGCATTCAGGCCTATCATCTATAATTAGATTTATACAGCCTTGCTGGGATTCATCTGGGATCAATCAGCTTGTACATCTGTAATGACAGATACAAAATTTATTTTATTTACTTTTAAAATGTTTTGTTTCCCAGAAACAGTGGACTATTACCTAAGTACCATTGGGTAACTAAAGGAATCCTTTCCCCTTTATACAACAATTAAGTCAGAGATCTAAACTTAAGTTGCTGAAGCTCCATGATCATTGGTGTGGAGTGGTGGTAAAGCAAAATGCATAACAATGTTCTGCTCTAGAGGAAGAGAGGTAACTTGTGGCATTTCAGATACGGCTGCCTACAACTCTCAGCATTCCTCATCATTCTGAGAGAATTTGAAATCCTAACAGTAAAATACTGTAAATGGGGAATACTTCTGGGTCCCAGGCACAAATGATCAATAAATGTTGCTCATTAGAGTGATCAACCTGTTAGGGCCTACAGTTGTCAATAGAAAGTCACATCACAGAGTAGAAGCATAAAGAAGGCAGGGAGAAAAGAGCAGAGTCTTCTTATTGTCAATTGAGCTATAATCATTTTTCCCAGTTCAGACTTCTTGGAACAAGACAACAGTGACTTCTTGTGGCTAAATGAACTCATCACAAGTCACCTCAAGTGATGGTTATCTGCAATAGAAATGTTATCATTTAGGCATGTACCGGTATGTGTAAAAAGAAAGGGTGCACAACCCAGCTTTTTGAGCTGGCTGCTGGAGTTATTTGTGCTTCTAGTACAAAGCTGAGAAGATTTAAAACACTGGGCCCAGTGGAGATGAGGCACAACTGTTACCACAGATACATCTCTATTATTTACTTTATTTTTTAAGTCGTACCCAGTCTTTATTTGAACATTACTTGTTTATCTTTAATTTAAAAGCTTAACTAAGGAAAATGTTCAAAGAATCCAACTCCCACCTCATTTTTATATTGAGTCTGGATATAGATTTTAAGAATCCTTGCAAAAACTATAAATAAAAGAATGCACATGCTGTGAGCTTCACTGTTCCTATGACCTTCCACTTTCTGGAAGAAAAAAATATGAAGTATTCTTTCTTACCTGTTTGGATAGCATGCTCACATTGGACTGTATTTAAAAAAAAAACCAATGTTTCATTCTTTCTTTTGTTTTGCTTTAAGGTAATAACCAGAACCTAACAAGAAATTTGAAAGCTCTATCCCCGATTTGTGCAAAAAAAAAAAAAAAAGCATAGATAAATTTGGGTGTTCTAACCAATGCTAATTATAGGGAACTGGGTCCAAAAACAGCCTGACTCAGAAAGATTGCCTGTTAAATGAGAAAGGCACCAGTGTACCTTTTCTACACTGGGTGGAGATAAGATCTTAACTATATGCCCCTGCATCTTCTAGTTTATGGATGTGGCCATTCCACTTTGCATCAGCCTCAAAAGATAGCTACATCGGTTGGGTGGCAAAAAAACAAACAAACCCACTCAACATTTTCAAGAACAAGCAAGGATAATCTCCATTTTATATGGAGACAGAAAGAGACATTGCATAAAGAGATTGACAGTCTGCATGTAACCATAAACGGGTTGGTTCTCTGCTAAGAAGGTATAATTTCATACGGAGGTAATGCAGCTCCTAGGAGCTGGCCAGGGTCCTGATGCCTAGATATGGAAAAGAGACTTGATTTGATGGGACTTTGATTTGACTGGCAGGTGCTCATCTGCTGTGATCATATCCATCCAGAAGTCTGTGTAGTGGGCCAGTTTACCACAGAAGTAAATACTCACCTGTCAGACAGACAGCCGCAAAGGACAGATTTGTCAGTTAGGCCACTTATGGCCTAGTATCTGCCTGGTCATTTCAATAGTCCAGGTTCCTTCAAGTAAATAATGCCACCTATCGGGACCCAGAGTCATGCTTTCTCTGTAGCAGCACCTGCACTCTGAAATGGGGTTCCCCTGAGATTCAAACAGACCCCAACCTACTGGCATCCTAAAGAGGCCTAAGATGTGGCTCTTTGCCTAACCTTTTGTGAGGGAGAGCAAGATCCCTTGCTTCACTCCGGTCTGTTACTCTTGCCATCTTTTATCCACCCATCTCTTTGTGCTTTATTATAATTTGTTTTGATTGTTGTGAGCCAGAATTGCTGGGAGACAACTGCCATACAAATATAATAAATTATTTTTACTATTAACATTATTATGCAAGAAGGGAGCAGCAGCTTGATTCAACACCAGATCCCACTGTAGTAGAACCAATCAAATAAGGGTCATTATGATTTTCAAATGGATTAAGCCATACATTTTGGCCTAACTTGTTTAAACTTTAAAGAGTGTTAGGAGTTACCAAAAAGTGATTAACAAAAATACGCAATGAGATATAAAACCTTACAGACCACCTTTGAGTTGTATGTATTGAAAACTTACCTTTCAAGATCATTCAGGTCAGGGAAACAAATTCCATAAATCTGACTGAAAATCTATTTTGAGATATAGTAAAAATCTGGCAATTTTTACTATATCTTGGTTGTTTCGCATTCTTTCCCTTTTATAATCCAAAAAGTTACGGCAGAATCAGTTTGTTATGCTTTCCTCATTTCTCGAACGTAAAGCTTTTTTTTGTTGTTGTTGCAAATGTACTGTGTAGTTTCTCCAAGGTCATCTCTATAGCTCTCTAGACATTCAGAAAGGAGGTTAGAGCAGACTATTCCTAGTGCCAGAACATCATTTGGTAAATAAATGGATGGGTGTGTTGGGATATTTGACATCCCTGGAAGCAAATGCTTCATGTCCCTTGTGCTTGGTTCTTTTGCTCCTAAAGTTGGGCTTTATGACTAAATACTTGCTTGGCCCTTATGATCAGAGCACTTCTACATAAAGATTCTGCACCAGTTTAAAAGCAGATCCAGATCCAGTGACATCCACTTAGCCTCACAGTTTCATGACTTTTTGTGTTTTGTGAGTGTTTTGTTAGTACACCATGGCTTTATTTCTCTGTGGCCAATCTTGTCCCAATCCGAGTTTGGGGCCTGTAAGAAAAATGCCTCTGATGTCTTGCAGCCCCCCTTCCATACCCCCAAAGAACTAGTAAATTGGAAACTGCCAGCATTTTATAATCATAGTCCCCTCCTCCCACCACCAAACCACTAGGCGTGTTTTTCCCTTCACGTCTTTTGGTATGGAGAGAGAAGATCAGTTGTCTTTTGTGTTGCTGCATCAGGACCTGCAGCTGATCAAAATATCACAACGAATTATCAGTAAGAACAAATTACATCACCAGGATCACCTGAAAAATGTATTAGAGAATTTGGGAGTGAAACAAGTGAGCATAAGAACACATACACTGTGGAAAAGCAAGCTCGGGGGTCTTCTTGTTTCTTGAAAAGAGAGAATGAATGTTTGTTAGTGTTAAAGGATCAAGCCATTACAGACAAGTTTAATCTGGATCCTGAAGGATTCGGTAACCATATGTCACAAATATATTTCTTAAATATGTTGATGATTATTGTAAGATAAAATATTGAAGTTTAACGTTTTATTTGAAATTGATCTTCCAATCAGTTGCAATCTTTTTGACAGATGTTCTTTCCTTTCCTGTAAACCCCTCAGAATAACTGAGGAGTTAGACGCCTCGAAATTGAATTAAATATATAAACATACTTAAAGCAAATCATTGGGAATTCTGTATACTAAGGAAACTTAAAAAATAGTAAACATTTTAATATGCTTGGAGTAAAACAATTCAACTTCTCTTTTAAAAAATTGTGGTTATTTCTTTTGTCTATTCCTGAAATATAAATTGCACACTTACTACAAGTATTGGCAATAATCAATATAGCGGTAAAATTGCTATTAAATTATGTTGAAGCTGCAAATTAAAATCCCACCCTTGTTCACAGGATGCATGGTTTGACCATAGGATACATCGCTTCTCCTGTTTTCACTTTTGTTCAAATGGGAATTTGTCACAATCTTGCAGTTCAGGAAGAAATGTTTGGGATGCATTCATCTTATTTCTCAAAGAGAATTCTTCATGGGTGACATTAACCAAATCTGAATTTCAGGCCAAGAATAGGGATTAAAGCTGGAGAGATCAGTTCAAATTTCCATTCTGCTTTGATATACAGCGATTTCACACACCGCGCTGTTATGCTAAAATAAGGTTGAGTATTTTGTGGTTCAGTGTGTTTTAGAAACTCAGCCATTGTTGTATTATACAGGTTTTCACATTAGGTCACAATAGAATGCTATGTGAAGAATAATTGTGTTCTGTCAACTTGGTTTTAAGGTTTAGCACACAGTTTCAACCCAACAATTGTGTGTAATTTTGGACAAGTAACAATATTTTATCTTGACCTTTTCCTCTGAGTTTCTAAGATGATCAAATAATAGAAAAGATCACGCTCAATACCTTTTGCTCATTGTAAGAATGTTTAAATAAAAGTGCAAATAAAAGTGTGTTTGACAGCTAGATCAGAACTGAGCACGAGAGCCCTGCCCCCACTATGTTTGTTATATGCTAAAAGATTAAGTGCCAAATTTGAGTAGAATCCTGCCAGTGGGAGAACGCCAAGGAAAACAGATGAGTGGACATACCAGTGGTTTCTTTTGCACATGCTCTGAATGCTTTCTCCTTTTCAATTTGCTTCTTTGCAGCAGAAGAAACTTTTAGTGGCTTTTATAATAGCTTTCAAAAATATCATATATAATTTCTGTAGCCAAATATATTATTATTTCTGCATTCTTGTCAGCACTAGCATATCCTCGCTTAGAAAATATAGTTTTGAGATATTATAAGAAATGCTTCCTTTGTTTCCTTTTTGAATACTACAGTATTTAAAATGATATGCTTTTCCTTCTTGCAGTCTAGAAAATTATACCCATAACATGAGCAGGATAGACATGATAGGGTCATCCATCAGTTAGCTGGCAGGAAAGAAAAACAATATGAGGCAAAATAGATATGTTATTTCAAAATCTTGCTGAAATGGCAAACCTGAGAAAGTCATTGTACTTAAACTTCAGTTTCCATCTTATGTAGCAGAGTTATTTATTTAGTAGTAGAATCATCATTTCTACATTGGCAAAAAAGTGGCATAAAATCTGTACACTAAATGCTAATACATTATGAGAGATATAAACTTGGAAATACTGCCTATAAATTTATATAGCAGCATCATACAGCCCACCAGAATGAAGAGAGTACTGTAACTGATAATCCTGCACAACCTCATGTCCAATTTTTGGCGAATGGGCAAATCTAAGATAGTACCATTTACCTTCTTAAAGTTCTTGATGTTAAATTGAGTTCCATCTGGACAGCACTTCAAAATGCAAATTCATGCAGTGCGTTTTTTCCTATCAGCTTACTCAAAGCAATAAAACTTACTTTGAGTAACTTTCCTTATTCAAGATGGATCTGTACTGCATTTTTTAAAAAACAAAAACAGAATTTACTTCTTTTCTGTGTTTTGTTTTAGAGATTTATTTTAATTGTATTTATGAAAACATTATTTTATGGTTCCAATCAACAATACACTCTCCACAAAATTCTTTTCTTCTTAATTCCAACCAGGCATTTATTTTGCTCTTCATTCCATCCCTACTGTCTGGGGTGGGGGAAAGTGTGTTGGGTGCTGGCGATGAAGAGCATTAATTTACTAGAGGTATCTAAGATTGAGGGCATTTGGAAAATATTCTTAATATGAACCTTCTGTGCCCCTGGCTAACATCCAACTCAGCAGCTCATCAAACAAATGGTAAAAGACACATGGGTGAAAAGGCCGGCGAGCTTTTTAATGGCATGACCAAGAATTCTCTTTGATTAACAAATCTGTTAATGACCATCATTCTTCATACAAACAAAAAAGTGATTTCCTTTTCTTTTTATTTTTAAGTCATGATTTAAAATTAGGAAAATGCCATGTGAATCTGTACACAGCTTCTGTGTGACGCATGCCAAACTTGTGGCGCTGAGAACTTTGCCATGCATTTAAACCAGATTTTTACTTTTTTTTACTTTTTTAACTCTCATTTGCAATTGTACATTCTTGTTGTAATGTGTAAAACATTCTAAACCTGCTTTCAGAAAACCATAAAAAAAGAAGAAGAAAATACAAAGAGGTGGTTTATCATGGAATCGGACAATGTTTTGACTAAACAATATCTCAACTGATATCCTGTCTGCCAATCAGATACATTTGTTCTGTGCTGCGGGACACAGTGTTAATACAGAACTGCTCCTGGTGGGACATTTATGATCTTAAAAAACACGCCCTATCACCCATTAACAATGCAAAGTTATCAGCAGTCTGCTATTAAATTCAGTCCAAAGAAATACCCATATTGTTTACATTACACAACATGTTGCCTTTCATAGGAGACATATATAGCATCCTGTTTTGCTATGCTTTTCATTTGTCAGAATAGGTGGCTCATGCTATCCTTCATCTCTTGACTGAAACACATCTGATTTTGCAGTTACTCTATATTTCAGATTAGCCTGAGAAACAAAGTTGTAAGAGATTATATACATTCCCAAGTGATCCAAAGATTAAGAACAGTCTATGGGAAAATTCAGCCCACAAAATCTGCCCCAAAACCCCCCAGAAATCTCTTTCCCGGTCTATAAGTATTCTGCCATCGAGGTTAGCAAATTCTTCCTACTCCCATTCAGAAAAACAAGGAAATATGGCATTTTGGTTCTAAAAAGTTAATTTCTCGGGGTGCATGGTAACATAAAAAGATGATTATAATAAGCATGGGAATGAAGTTGCTTAACCTCCTGGGGTCATAACCTTTGTCTCATATTTACAACTCCAGTTGTATACTGTATTATACAGGAATACATATTCTGCTAAATGTACCGGTCCAAACAGCAAATGACAGAAAAACTCCACCAAGAAATTGTTTTGTTTCTTTAACCCCTGCATAAGGTCTAATATAGTTCAATGTCCCTTGCTACTTTATTGTATTTCACATCTTCTTACTCATTAGATTTTTGGTTTTGTTGATGATAGAAAGAGAAAGGTGGCATTGTGATATGTGCTAAATTCTGGGAAAGGGAGTGTGGGGCAAGATAACTACTTTCAATGGCACTAACTCTATGTTACCCTTTGAAACCAAATTTATAATGCATAAATGCAAAGATTCTGACACTAGGACATCCTTGATAGATGGCTGTCTACTGTCCAGTTTCTTCCAGCAAAGGAATATCCCGACCCCCCCCCCCCGGTGCAGTCCCAGATCCACTCTCAAATTGCTCTGAGCATTAAGACATTCCTCTACCTACACTGTCTCCTTAGCTGAGGGACTCTAGTCTGATCATCTGGGGCAGCAGAGAACAAGTCTTTGCCTTCATCACTGCTCTTTTCCTTGAGAAATTTGTTTTCCACAATCCCGACTAGCTGCATGGGTCTACTCTCCAAAGAGCCAGTATAATCTTTAACAAATCTTTTCTTCCTTATAATTCAGCCTTTGGGCTCTTGGTCTGAAATGCATTTCAATTCACCCTTTTTCACTCTTATATCAGGGATGAGTGGGGTGAATCTGTTCAGAATCCACTGTTGGTTCTCTCCTCCTTTTTCAACTTTTTTTAATGATAATTGCTGGAGTTGTAGGGGGAAAACAAGTATGTACCGGACTGCACCTCATAATTTTCAGTGTTTCATAATAAAAGAAAATTATAAAAGTGCCATTTAAAAGATTACCCATTGCAAATCTACTTGAATGAAGGTACTACAAGGCTTTTGTCTATGCAGAGGGTTAATAGGAGCTTCATTACCCAGTAATTACTTTTCAAAACACTTGTCACCCCCCCATCCACTACCACCCATCCACCATAATTGTATTATGGTGAAGTGTTCTTCCCATTTCTTTTGATCAACACTGTTGCTTATGAAACTAAAGCATCACCCATACACAACAAGGAAACAGAAGTGCAAAAGAAAATACTATAATGGGGGAAGGAAAACGATAACAACAATGAAGGATGTCCAGGCTGGCTGATTTGTTGAAACAGATAGTGGAAAATGAGGGGAAATGGGTCAGGGTACCTGGAGTTCTGAACAGAAACACTCAATGTTATATTGTTTAAAAGGTAATATAAAGAATATATCTGTGTGTTTTGCTTAAATTGTTATAGAAATTAATTTTAATGGAAATCTCAATAAAAACTATGCTATTTATATTTAATTCTCACAAGGTCTTCCTAGGACACGAAGTTGGTTCTTAATCTGCTGTTGAAATAGATGGGAAGAATGAGTTCATAATCAGATGACTGGGGCCTTAAAGCAAGCAGTATATTAAAGATGCTAGTCTTAGCCAGATAATGCCCAACCAAATCTAGCCCGATTGTTCATGCTGATTCACACAATAATCAAATGGCAAAGATCTGACTGGGTTACAGTAAAAATGTGAGGTCTGTGGAGGTGCTGAAGCCTGAAAGCCTCCTCAGACAAGCACCTTGTTTTCAAAGTCCTTTTACTTTACTTATTCATCTTGTAGCCCGCATTTCCTGATTTCCCCTCTCTCCCTCTCCCAATTCTACTTCCCTTCCTGACTCCCAAAAATCATCCCAACTGAATCTGCAGAAGACACTCCCCATTTTTAATTAGCACAACAGGAAAGGAAGTGAGCAAGCATAGCAAGAGGAAGAATTTCTGTTCCTGCTGCTCTCACTGAATAATTAGAAAGAAAAGACAGAAATAGGTTTGGGAGCTGGAGATGGTTTGAAGAACTGAGGCGGGCACAAATATTTTTTTAAAAAAAACCTGCCAATCATTTTATTAATACCAGAATTATTCATGTATGCATGTTTGATCTATTATATCTGTTCATTTAAAAAAAAACATGCACTTGTAATATAGGTTACCTGGCAAAGACTTGGTCCCAAAAGCCAGGCTAGAAATGCACTAAATAGTGTAAAAAATGAGGCTGCACTATAAACCTGTGTAGATAACATTAACAGGGATCCCACCATCCCTAGATAATATACCAATTTAATTTATTATAAATGTAATAGAAAAGTGTAGCATCAATCAACAGGTCTAAAATACAAGTACTTAGGAGCAATAATCACAGCTTGTCCTCTGTAATTAATATCATTGTACTAGCTCTGAAAAATGAATGGGCTGAATGCATAATGTACTATGATGTTAAGGAAATAGATTAATTGGAGCTGTCTCATATGTTCAGGTTCTGGGCAAAAAAAAATATATCAGAGTCAGCAATTATAAGCAAAATACTATAAAAGGAAATATGAAGGAACTATGAATTCTTGAGGACATAAAAAAAAAACAGTATTCAGGATTCAAAGGACACAATGAAGTACTGTAGATGTAACAATCTGTAACCCTAAGAAGAAATATAAGTGCTTTTTTTACTTTAGAGCAGTGGTGGGATTCAACCAGTTCGCACCACTTCGGGAGAACCGGTTGTTAACTTTCTGAGTAGTTTGGCAAACTGGTTGTTGGAAGAAATCATTAGGGCAGAGAACCGGTTGTTAAATTACTTGAATCCCACCACTGCTTTAGAGTGATGCTTGCTTACCGTATTGCATGGCACCATAGGTAACATGAGCAACTAGCAATCCATGAAATCTCGTTTTTGACCTGGAGTTTTGATAATAGTCCTGATGGAGTATTATTTGGATCTCTGAAACAAAGCACTCGTTCCATCAAGATTCACAGCTGTCTCAATCACCACCAAGGACTAAAGCTGAATACAGCTCAGGCTTGCTGCTACAACAGCAATATTATTTGTTGCAAATGAAAGTAATATTATTTGTCTCTATGCTGCCTTTTTTCTGCCCATGATCAACATTTATGCTTGATACATATTCAAGTAAATATGTACAAATGTCTTAGAGGAATATTGATTCCCACAGTTCCTCATCCTGCACGATAATTATATTTACAGCATACAGTACATGCTATTGATTCTGTACTTCGTTTCTTTTTATGTGCCAAGAGGTATAACATGTTTGTGCCCAACACTAATACTATTTGGAGGGCAGATTAAAACTTTCTTGCTCTTCCAGTATTGCTATACATATACACTGATATATGACATATTTAAGAATTAGAGTTGTATACCAATAGAACAGATCTGCTTACCACATATCACCCAATTAAAATAATTTAGGTCTCCTAAACAGTAACTATTTCATTTACAATGAGTAATGCTTGACCACGGGCATCTCTAGACAGAATAGCTATTAATTCTGGATTAAACCAGAAAGTAATATTATTATTCTATTGCATGGAGGAGGGCAGGACTGAATTGTGGCTGTGTATGAGTAGACTGAATGCCTCCCTGCCTCCTACATCGTGAGGTCTAGGACATAATATGTCAAAATGTTCTATGTCCAAGAACTTACAGCCACAGGTTCAAGCAAAAAGTAATGTGCAGGTCTTTCTTCCCTTTCTACATTTGGGGTACAGAGGAGGAGGGGGAGGGGGAGGAGGAGGAAGAGGAAGAGGGTGAGAAAGACTGCTAATTCTGTTTTTAGGCTAAAACAGTTTCTTTTTGAACTGTTTTTCTTACTGGAATCGGGAACATATACAGGAACCTTCTATACGCCACATCCCATTTCTCATATGGTCAAAAAAATCACAGGGATAACATTCTGAAAAACTGACCAGAAGGGGAAGGAAAAAGCCTCCTTTGTCCAGGCTTGTGCTCAGATTTGTACCTAATGTTTACATAGCATCTTGATTTTGGGATAAGAATTAGCTGGCACAGACGCAGAGAAGAGTTTATACCTATTCATTTTTTCTTGAATAAAATCTAAGTTTCTGAATTGATGGGAAGGATTCAGGCTTTCACAGATGAATGAGTGCATATATCGGTTGGCTGGTTTCATATATTGTGCTGAACAACAAATTATTGTTCACTGACCTTAGTGGCTGGGTTCACAGAAGTAACACAAACAAGCAAACCATATTATGACTTAGCACAATATGTGAGTGAAGCCAATGTATGTATGTTTTTTTAAAAAAAACAAAAAACAAATAAACATAAAAGGAGGAATGATGGACTGGGTCATGATATTCTTGCCCCATCATTCTTTGCTTATATAAAAACAAAGGTTTAAAGTAGTGAGTCTCTTGAAGTAATCAATCAATGTTGTAGATAGCACTTTTAGGCTTCCCACTTTTTATTCTTTTACTACCAAGCACAAAGGATGACCAAGATGATTGACAGCTATTTTCCAATGCTATTGGCACATCCCTATTTTACATGTGAGGTCTAGAATTGAATAGGCCAAGATGTTCTATGCCTAACAATGTCTTTGGAGAGCAATATGGCCAAGCTCAATAAAATGGCCCAGTCTTCTCTTCAGATACAAATCCCAACATATATATAAGATATTCAATAATATTAATCTCAAATAGCTGTCAGAATAATAAATTCTATCAACATAAGCTTTATAATTTAAATGCTCCTACATCTCAAAGGGGGCTACTGATGACTATATTATAAATAATATAATTATTATATTATTTATAATTGTCCCCTCAAATCCTGGATGAAATCCACTAATTCAGCTTCTATCAGTGGTTCCCAACTGGCAAAGTCTGGCCAGATTCTAAGGCAGTCTTGTTTATTACCAAGGAAAAAAACCAGGTTAGATTAGATGTTCTTATGGCTCACGAGATGCTCACTACTTTCCTGCTTTTTCAGATATATCTAGGCATCCTGCAAATAAGATCATTTGTCCATCTACCATTAATATTCATCCAGATTCACAAGGGTCATGCTGGGTCCCAGTCAGGGATCTTACTCTTTTCTATCTCTCGAATACATTCAAGTAAAAAAAACTTCATTCAAGTAGATTGGGCCTATCTATATGCAAGACTTAATCTATATTAAGAAAACTAAAATCATGCCTCTTGATTCCTGGCAAATAGATGAGGAAGAAATGGAGGTAGTGACAGATTTTATTTTCCTGGACTCCAAGATCACCGCAGATGGGGACTACAGCCAAGAAATTAAAAGACGCTTCATCCTGGGGAGGAAAGCTATGGCAAACCTAGACAGCATACTAAAAAGCAGACATCACCCTGCCAACAAAGGTGCGTATACTCAAGGCTATGGTTTTCCCAGTTACAATGTATGGCTGTGAAAGTTGGACCATAAGAAAGGCTGAGCATCAAAGAATTGAGGCCTTTGAACTATGGTGCTGGAGAAGATTCCTCCGAGTCCCTTGGACTGCAAGGCAATCAAACCGATCAGTCCTAGAGGAGATCAACCTGACTGCTCTTTAGAAGGCCAGATTCTGAAGATGAAACTCAAATACTTTGACCACCTAATGAGAAGGAAGGACTCACTGGAGAAGAGCCTAATGTTGGGAACGATTGAGGGCAAAAGAAGAAGGGGACAACAGAGAATGAGGTGGCTGGATGGAGTCACTGAAGCATTAGGCGTGAGCTTAAATGGACTCTGGGGGTTGGTAGAGGACAGGAAGGCCTGGAGGAATGTTGTCCATGGGGTCACAATGGGTCAGACACAACTTTGTGACTAACAACAACAACAATATGCAAGACGTGTGTTCTGCCATGAAACTCAGCCCCTTTCCACTAGGATGTGAGAATATCTAGTGGAGGACTGAGAAAAGAGGTTTTTAATGAGGGCAGGTGGGAAAGTTAATGAAAGAAATGGGGAGGATAGAATTATTTGTGTAAACATTTAAACAAACAAAGAAATAAAAAGCAGAAATTATTCAAAGAGGCATGACAAACACTATCACCCTTGTGGCCTTGGAAGCTAGGAATAGCCTGAAGTATGACTGGGAGGCTCTTGCTTACTATGGGTTCCTAGAGTTGCAGAACAGAAAAGTCTGGATGTTATGAGGCAAAAGGAAAAACATAGATATATATTAAAAAGGAAAGAAATATTGTAAAATCATAGTGTTTCTTATCAAAACCTCATTGCAATTGTGTCTCAACTAAAATCACACTGTAGTACCAACTAATGTATCAAAAAAATAATCTGAGTTGTTTCTATTGTTGTTTCTTTGTTGTTTCATCAACATGATCTTACCAAAACAAAGACTTGTGGCTTATATTGCTATATATTCCAATATATTCCAATATCTCAGGGGTTGCCACAAAGAAGAGGGAGTCAAGCTATTCTCCAAAGCACCTGAGGGTAGAACAAGAAGCAATGGGTGGAAATTAATCAAGGAGAGAAGCAATTTAGAACTAAGGAGAAATTTCTTGACAGTTAGAACAATTAATCAGTGGAACAACTTGCCTCCAGCACTGGGAATTTTAAAAAAGATGTTGGATAACCATTGTCTGAAGTGGTGGGCAGGGTTTCCTGCCTGGGCAGGGGGTTGGACTAGAAGACCTCCAAGGTCCCTTCCAACTCTGTTATTCTATGCTCTTAGCCCTGTCCTGGAATTCTGCTCTAAGCCTTAATAATCCTCTCATAGAACCACAAGCCCCATGGTTCCTCAGGTGTATGTCATAACAATTATTCTATTGATTAAATAGGGTATTCTAGACATTCTCAAATTATCCTCCGTTGAAAAGATGGGCATGAGATTAACAGTATATTATCTTTTTTTAAGGTCACCTTCTAATACAATATCAAAAATAGTCAACATCTCTTTGATGCAAGAACATTCACTGGTAATCTTGGGCCTTGATTATCTATTGATAAAATAATTATCACAGATATTTTCCTTTAACTGCCAATCGAGTCCCAAATTCCCACCAAGAAAAGTAGTAATATTGAATAGCCAGAATCTATTTATCTCTTACTAAGAAGTTGCAAGTGTCATTTTATTAAGTTTACACAGCAACAAAAAATTAGTTTAAAGAAATGAATGGAAACAAATTCCATTCATACTTCATATAGCTCTGCTTGACAGTTGTAAGGTGAAAAGAAAACAAGAATATCTAGAATTAATAATAAATTAGCCTGATCTGCTCAAATCCTTCACTTCTTACTTTTTATCATTGCAATTTACAGATTCACATAGATGGTGGGAGAATATTATTCACTACTATTACAAGAGCCAAGCATTCATATATTTCCTTTTTTTTTTGCAAGTCTCCATATCTAAAGCTAGATTCTTAGATATAAGTACTTAGTTATAATGTGTTTCCTGATCGTAATGGCAAGTTCATATAACTTTTCAGGCCAGCGCACAGAAGGGAGGGGGTACCATGAAGGGAGGGGTATCCCCCAAATTAGCCAGCTTCAAAAGCTTTATCGAGATTTATCAAGCGCCAGGTTGAAAACCAAATAATTTGAGAGGTGCCAAACACCAATGATTGTCTGGCAGCTGAATTTCTAGAATAAGCAGGTACTATCATTGCAAGGCATTTAGAAATGGAAAGCCTGTTTTAAAAAAAAACATAAAAATTAAAAACTGCATGTCCAACATATCCTAGAAGGAGAGGCAGTCCATGTTTTAAAATGCCTTATATTTGGATTTTGAAAAAAATACCATAGAGTGGAGCCCTATTGGTTCCCTAGGTCATTATTTAGGCTTTAGCTCTTTTCTTTGCACTTTTGCACTGTTTTTACCAATAAAGAGATCATGTAGAGCTCCCTGAGAACCTTTCACTGCTGCCTTTACACAAAACACTACTTCTGGTGGATATTAGCTTATGGACATAATGCCGAAGGGGAAAAACTGATGCCTCTCTACTTCAGAGCAATCTGGAACAGGTTGTCTCAATAAACCTAACACTTCTCTTTAGCAGCCTTCTGAGGACTGCTGCTACGGGATGCTATGCATCCAAAAGAAGCTGCAAAGGTACAGCTTCTCTCCCCTTGGCTGTTATTGACTCTTCATATAACTATAGGCAGGATAGCAATTAAGGGGTCTGATTGTGACTTTCTTTCTATTAATACACCAGCATTGCCAGAGCTACACAAAAGTAGGCTCAGAGAGAGAGTGGATGCCAAACAGGGACATCAATACATCTAGACCACCGAGAAGCTCACGCCGAGATTTCTCTTTCAGGTTCTGTGCAGCCCTTTTAATTTCTCCACTGACTGGGGCTGATGTGTGCTATAAAAAGCCATCTCTCCTAGCAATCTCTCAGGGTTCTGTAGTGTTGCTAACCGAGAAACTAAAGAAATGAGGATGAAGGAAAGAATATCAGGCACTAGGCAGGCTGCCTGAGTTGTTGCTTGGTGACCGGCAAAAGCAAGCATGAGCTGGCCAGGAGGCTCTCAGCCAGAGAGAGAGCTGGGATTGAGACGGCATGGGCATGTGTGGGCAAGTGAAGCACTGAAGTACAACTAGCTGCTATATGCATATATTTCCGACACATAAGGCTGTGCTGCGGCATCTCGAGTGTATATTATACGCAGAGGTTTTTCCAGCCTGGCAAGATGGTAGGTCGGTAGGTCTAATGGACTGGCAGCAGCAGATCATTATCTAGCAGTAGACTTGCCTTCTTGGAATACCTGTTTTCCTTTGGTTCCTGGAGTATGGGTTTTCCCTTTTGGTCCTTTTCTGAGCATACCTGGTGACACAGGAATATCTCCCAATAGGCCTATAGCCTGAGCCCTGGATGGAGCTTTGGGAGAAGACTGAGCCCATGGAGGAAATGTAGTCCCAGGCCTATGCGGTCGAGATGGTGATGGGCTTTCCTTTCTGGATAGGGATTGGCCTTTGGGGGAAGCACTGAGGTTTCGTGGAGGGAGAACAGGGCTTCTAGCTGGAAGATGGGAGGCTTTCCTTGGGCTGCTCTTCAAGGAAGGGGTAGCAGGAGTTGGGGTAGCTTTCATCCGGGGATCACCAGATATGTTCACAAATGGCCTTTGCCCCTGAATCCTGCAAGAAGAAAAGAAGGGGAAAGCACAACGTTTTTTTTTTTGTAACCAGGTTACCACAAGTATCTTACTCTAAAAATTTACAACATATGATAGAAACTAATAGTCTGTAACAGGTTAAAAAGAAACATATGGTGGCCAAGTGCTACCACATGCCACAACAAAGAAGAGGACAAGGTCAGTTATCACCCGGGGGTCATCATGAACGATCTGCACATGCGCAGAAGCATGCATGCGCGCATGAAGCTTCTGCGCGCACGCATACTCCCGTTGCAAACCGATAGCAGAGGTAAGTAGAACCCACCCCTGATCCTAATGCCTATTTTTAGTGTGTGACTCACATTTGCACTGTGACATGGTTATGCATATTTTGTCATTCTTGCCTTCTCTGTGGATACCCATATTTGGACATGTTTATACAGTGTTTGCTTCAGCCAAGATGTTATTTGCATGGTAGAGGTGAGATGCAGGTTATGTATTTGCAGGAACAGCATCACCTTTGCTGAAAGTCACATAAACCAAGCATATAAGCCACTTCTGTTAAAGAAGCAAACACTACATACTGAGTGAGCATTTAAAGGTAGAGAATTTCCGTTAAGATACTGGTTTCTTTTATTGAAGTATTTAAATGATATTTTGTGTTTATTTTCTAATTCATTGCCTTGTACAGTATATATTATTTGGAGGAAAGACAGGATACACATTAAATGAACAAGAAATAGATTTTTCTTTCCTTGTTTCTACAGCCCAGCAGAGGGGGCTAAGCTCCATTTGGCAGGCATCTCTTTCAGCCAGTCTCCAAGATGAGAGAGAGTCCTCTCAGCAGGCAGCAACAACTTGCAACCTTCCCTGCAGGCTTCCCCATTGACTTTCTGGGGAAGCCAATCGAAAATATTGTAAATGGTGATCACATGATCGCAGGGTGCTTGGAAACTAATCATAATTGTGAAAAGGTTGCCAAGTGCCTGAATTGTGGTCATGTGATTGGGAGTGGATGCACCATGGCATTTTATAGGATGTAAAACATCCCATCTGAGGCTACAGTAACTTCAGCTGGTAGTTAAATGACCAGTTGTAAGTTGAGGACTACCTGCAAGGAAAGTAAACATTAGAGAATCTAGATGCAGCTATGTAACTACGTAACTTGTAGCTAAGATAATAAAAGTCATAGACAGTTGATACATATGTCAGAATTGTTATCTCCAACCTTATAAATAGGAACGTCTAGTATACAATATTAAGTTGAAAAAATCTCCAGTAGGGAATACTAAACTAAGAGGCCATAAAATAGGCTTACTCCTTCAGTTGTGATTCCTGCCTAAAATGTCCTTTTTATATCTTTTATTTCTAAATACCCCTGTAGAATTTTTTTGTGTTCCAATCTGGTTTTAAAAAGTTTCCATGACCCCAATGGAGTCTCTTTTAAATGCAAAAATACCAACTTCCATCTAATTTTGAAGGCAAAGCCATGGGATGTTTGGGAAGGCTCTGTAGGCAGCCTATTTTAAAATTATTGTCTAACATCATAGCATGATTAATCTGGGAAAAAATGGTCGATTACAGTCTAGTGGATAGGTTGGGTAAATATAAAGAAGGAGCTGAGGAGACAGCAAGGACAAAAGTAACTCTAAATCCGACTGCTTGCTGAATCAGAAAGAAGTACCACATACCTTATGGACCCAGCTGCATCACCGGTACTTCTACTTGGTGCTGCTGGCGGAAGGGCGGAAGGGCTCCCATATTTTAGTTCTATCACAGGTGGCTTTACAGGTACAATGGGGCGAGGGATTCTGCTCCTTATATTTAAACTTCTCTCCTCCATCTTTACCAGGGAAATTCTCTCCTGATTTCCAATCTTCCTTGGGGTGAAATCATCTGAATCATGAGTATCTTCCTCAGAACCAGTGGCCGACAAGGTTTCTGAAACCCGCTGCCTCTCATCACTAGAGGAAGCAGAAGATGAAGCTCCAGAAGCTAACCTGAACAGATGGCTTTGCCTTTTCTCCATCACCAGGCGGGCCAAATCCTGCTGTTTCAGTCTCTTGTATAGCCTTTCTTTGCCAGAGTGTGAAGCTGAAACATCTGATCCAGTGTCTTCTTCAGACAGCAAGACAGGAATCCGGCTTCTATACCTTACATTCAGTGGCTTTTTGGAAGTTTCTGCTTGAATATGTGGAAGCAACTCTGCTTGTCTAAGGGATTCATTTGCAAGGGTTTTATTATCAAGGCCAGGTTCTTCTGAAATCAACTTACTATCTTCTTCCACATCTGACTCGGGAATAAGTTTGCCCTTAAGTTCTAGCTCCTCTTCTTCTCCCATTTTAACACCATTCAGGAATACCAGTTCCCCTGCAGCTTCAGAGGTGGTTTCAATATGATTCACTGAGAAAGCACAACTTTCCATTTCTCCCCCTTCCAAGGCTGAATTCACACTCCCATTTTCTATCAGTACCTGATTTTCCTCTAATTCTTCCTCAACGATTACCTCTTCAAACTGCCCTGTATTAGAGTATTCCTCGTGCCTCATAAGCTGGCCACTGGAAGACATGATGTTTAGATGTGTCTTTTCGGCAATATGGACAAATGTGCGTTCAACTTTAGTAAAAGGGGAGGAGGTTGTGGCCACAGACATAGGAGGCTTTGGTTCAGACTTGAGGATGGAAGACAATGTTCCTGGCTCAGATACATCAAGCTGGCTTCCCATAGGCTGAGGTTTCTCACTTTGAGGAGTCAGTGCAGCAAGAGTTCCAAGATCAGCATCAGGAGCCAAGTCTGTATTCACAGGAGACTTTTTCAGGTCACCTGGTGAAAAAAGAACTAATGTTTTTGAGCCTTCCTCAAGTTCCAAGTCTCCTTCGGCAGCTGATGCTCGACCCTTGGATTCCTTCTGGTCATCTGCTAAAAGAGTGGATGGAGCACCTTCCTGACTACGCTCAGTACTTTTTTGACTCACTTCACTGCTTGTCTCACTCTGCAAATCAAGTTCTTCCCCTAAATTATCAAGTTCTTCATCATCATCATCATCATCCTCTTCCTCTTCCTCCTCTTCTTTTTCCTCCCTTTTTTCTTTGTATCTGCCATTTGCCAGTTGAAGATGAGCATTAGGTGGTTTACAAGGGGCAGTTAAGACAACATTTGAGAAATCCACTTTTTTTATTCGTTGGAGAATTTTGGATCTTTCCCTATTTTCTGATACATCCCTTTTGAAATCTTGGTAAGGCAAATTTAAAGGCACCACCCTGGGGAGACCATTCATTTCAAAAGGTTTCAGTGGGAATACCTGGAAAAAGACACACAAAAATAGTTGGTTATCCAGAATGTTAAAACTATATAAGCAATGTTGTAATAGCTGAAATTAGCCAGGAGAATTAAAACCACAAATGAATGGAGACCAAGAGCTGGGGACCCTTTCCTGTCAGCTTCACACCACTTGGGGGAGCATCTGTTTGGACCCCGCAGCAAGTAGAATCAAAGTGGAAAGTAGAAGGACTTTGTCTCCTTTCACCCCTTTCTTGGACTTATATCTTTCTCTCTCTGAGGGAGAAACATTTGCCCCGAATGTGAATGTTACTTATGCAAGGATTTCAAAATTATGCAGAGACCAAGAATCACAGGATGCCCCTCCCCAGTTTTCTCAAATAACAAGAATTAATGAGGTTATGTTTGAATAAAGATTCTGCAGGAAAAAATTGGTATTCATCATAATGGCAAATCCCTTACCACATGATATCAATACCCTGGTTTAAAGCCCAAGGGTAATTACTGGGATGCCTGAAGAACAGCTGGTAGAATTCCCCCTCATTCTTTTTCAGTATTCCATCTTCAGTATCCAGATCTAATACATATAGGAAGGAAGGAGAGGCAACTGCCTCCCACTAATCCGATGCTGCTGCTACTAAAAACAAAACCTGCCCTTCACCTCCTACTAGTGTGATGTCTGATTAACACTCCTAAGAGGTAACAATGCAAAAGGTTATTATTCAGTAAATACACTAGCAAAGCCCATGGGTCATCCTGTAAAAAGAAAAACGTAACTGGAACAGAAAGAAAACCAGTTAAAAAGAGGATATACACAGTAAAGATAAACATTTTATGGTTTCTAGCAACACATAGTAGCAGGAAGGTCATTTAATAAAAGGAAAGCTGTAGAAAAAAACAGAGATGTCCAGGGAGACATATATGACATTATTTTGAAGTGGAAATACTGTTATTTAAAAGAAAAAACTATCTGAAAATTGATGAATATTTCATGAAATGAGTAGGAAGCAAGCGTTACATGGGAAATAGGAACTAGATTACTGTACAGTTTGTTAAGCATCAATTAGACAATAACAAAAATTGCTTAATGTAATTGTGATTCTTCAAGTGATCATCTGTGCTTTCACATGTATAGGTGATACACTTTTATAGAATTAATGCCAGAAACCTTTTACAGCTACTTTCTACAAAACTTTATGAAAGTGGGCCCTGCATTGCATATGCTCCAAGCAGTTGCTCCAGTTATACTTTTCATGTCATATTACTGATATGTCATTCCAGCAGCTCTAAGTATTTGATAGATCAGGCATCAACCAAAGGAGGTGAATTAATCATATTAATGCATATAGCAGATATGAATGATTTGGAATATACATATATAACATCTTTCGTTAGATGGACAGTTTTAAGATTTAAATATAATAGAATTCTAATATCCCTAGAAACAATTATATCAGGAAGATATGGAATGTCTAAAAAAATTTTTATCCTTTTTCGCATACTCTAAAGGGAAATCTGACATTAAAAATTGGGAAGAAGATGGTGATGCAGAAAAATTGATTAACCCTGTGGCTGTTGAAAAGGAACTGAGGGTTGGGAGGGATCTTTTACAAAACTAGATCCCCATATCTGTGATGCACAGATATCATATTAAAAGTACACCTTCATATAACATGGATGAAGAGTTCATTGCCAGATAATATGAGAGTGGTCACAGGTTACATAAGAGATTTGATAGAAAGGAAACCAATGAACTTATTGTACAGCATTTGAGTAAACTTCAAATTATTTTGGCGCATATTTTGGAGGTCATAGTTCCGGCAAAGATAGTTAAAGTATACTTTATACATTTAAAAGAGAAAGAATTAAGTAGTTACTGAAATCTACTTGATCAGATATGAATAATATTCAGTAATATAATTCTAAAGCAAAATAAGAACAAATAACAGGGTGCACATTCGCTGAAATCCCAGAGTCTCTTAAGGCAGTTAGATCTAACAGGTCTTACCTTCTTGCAGGGAAAAGTAGCAGCAGTAAACCAAAAGGCAATCATGACAAAAGACTGATGACACTGCCCCCCACCTTGATCATATTGCAAGTATCTCAAGATTAAAAAAAAAAACTAACATATGACCTCCAGCACGCGTTGAGTCAATAATTTGGGTCAAATTCATGGTTGTCATGGTGACCATGAACTCCTGATGAGCCCCAAATTCAATGCTAACTGGAAGCAGCTTTATATTAGCTTGAGGAATTCAACTGTCAGACCAGCAATGGAATCCAGCAGTCAGATATGTGTTCACTTTACAACACGAAGGCCAGTGTAGCAACAACAAACCCAGCTGCTGTCTAGAACCTCACCTCAACCATAAAGATCTCATATCTGATTATCTACAGCACAGAGGCTCTGAAAGCTATCAGAACTTCTCAGATAATAACTGCCACTCCTTTGTCATATCCTGAGGTCACAACTGATGCCAAACACAGAAACAAGGTGGGCACATATCTGAAAGAGGAACCTCCCTGACTCTGGCCCTCCAAGTCTAATAGATGAGACTCCCCTCACCCTTTGATAGGAAAAACACTGTCCAAATGAATGCAATTATATTTATAAGGAATTCCTGTACACGTATTTTCAAAAATGGAAACATTGTTCCATCAATAACTATGGGGTCTTCAATTGCAAAGATATCTTTGAGAAATGTGCAATTTGCAGTTAAAGATGGACTTTGATCTTCGTTATGCTTTTGACCAGAACGTTTACCTTTACACTAGTACCAAACTCAGATACTCTTAACATAAATTTCCTGCTACAATTGAACTTGATGCCCTGGCATGCCTTGTTGCTCTCTTCTCCACTGCCTTAGTTAGTATTGCATTTCATTGCCCTCCCCATTTAGAAAGAATAGTTTACTCCAGAAGCATCAAACCGTTAATTGTTTTCTTAGGCTGACACGTTACTACACTGGTTTATCTCTGTCCCAAGGCCAATAAGAAGTCAGAGAAATGAGGAAGGGAGAAAACATTAGCAAAATCATAATACAGGGTCCAAAGAAGGAAGTTCAAGAAAATCTATCCTCTTATGCTGATAAATAAGATGTAAAATTTAGGCTAGTAGAGCAGGATATATCCTTCTCTCTATTAAATCCAAAATTTATCCCTCTCTTTAACTAATAAAAATCCTCCACAATGCTAATGCCAGGTAAGGAGTTAACAGGAGAGTTTGCATTTGGATTTGAAGTCTACATTACAAGAAGAGTGATGGTCTGGTGAAAAATGAGATAAAAAAAACACTGCCACAAGTTATGCCTTTGATTCTTTAATAAGGTTTTGGTAGTATACAAGCTTTTTTTTCCGATTGTCTGGATTAACATACATGGATTTAAAAAAGGCACAAAATCCATTGCACAGCTTCGGTTTAGTTTTTTTGTTGTTTTGTTTTAAAAGATGAAGTTGCTTGTTATTTGTGATTTCAAGTGTAGGATCTTACAGTACTCTGCAGCATTTACAGCATGTTCTACATACAAGTAATTCAGTGCATGCTTTTATACATAAGATAGAATTTCAAGTTCTGTCTTGCCATTAGTCTCTCTATATACAGAAGTTAATACAGTGCTTTTATCCAAAAAAAAAAAAAAAAAGAAGCTTCAATTTTTTTTCTTACATGCTTGGTTTGCCCAGGGGAATAGTGCAAGCATATTATACAATGTCAGTACAAAAAGGTGAAAGGCAGGAGCGCAGAAAATTATCTTCAGTTCTAACAGGCAACACACACAAAGAATAAAAAGGCTCAGGGAAAACAAACTTTTGAACCCCTTCTGGTAACTTGGTCCTTCCGAATTATTTCCTGCTATGCCACAATAAAGTTATACCTCATAACTCTCCCAAGAAGGGTTTTAGGCCTTTTCAGTCGATGCTAAATATACATGTATCAGTCTGCAGTAATACCGGGATGATTCTAATTCCTGAGGTTTTCATTAAAAAGATATTTAAAATATTAAGAATTGGCACTCCATATAAGAAAAAAGCAACACAAAACAAACTTGGATGTTTGGAAAAACACACCAAGATAGTATGCTGCCATAGGACAAAAAGCTGGTGCAAATGTAATGTGATATGATATCTTCGCTGCTGGACCAAGCATTCATTTTCTAACATGAATTCCATTCTTTCTAAATTTCTTTTTAAAGAGCGTCCCATAAATACATCAATACTGATTGACACTCTGGTTTAGCTGAGAAGCGATGAGCCTTAAAATCAAAAATTTGACATCAGAAGTCCGTTATATGCACAATTAAGGCCCCAGGACTGTGTGTCGACTTTCACCCCTGCAAGTTTTCAGTGCTTTTTCTAGAAGCCTCAAAAACTATGATAGAAGAAAACTATATGACTGGGGAATAATTATATTAACCACATTTATTTTTTATTAAATTTAAATGGAAATAAAATTAAATTTAGTTTTTTGTTGTAGCCTCATCTTTTTGGAATGTGACTTTTGGTCTTTATGCTCTGGGACAGGGGTGGGCAATTGTGGCTCTTTCACAACCTGTGGACTTCAACTTCAATTGCTTAACGCATTGTAAGCCGCCCTGAGTCTCCAGAGAAGGGCGGCATATAAATTAAATCAAATCAAATAAATAAATAAATAAATAAACTCCCAAGCTGCTCTGGGAGTTGAAGTCTGGGTTGTAAAAGAGCCACAATTGCCCACCCCTGTTCTGGGACAACAGAGAAGAGGTTTTGATTGCACAGCCAGAGTAAGATGTGTGTGTGAGAGAAGGAGTGGTTTTACTCTAGAGAAAGAGAATATGATTCCACCATTAAGTCAAACTGTAGTTAGAAATTAATTCTTTGTATGCACACTGATCCTACAAAATCATCACTGTTGCATTTCTATACATATTGGGACCAGTGTGTAAACAGAAGAAAAAAAAGTATCCAATCCTTCTCGCCTTCAAAATCTTAGTACTGCCAACTGCTGACCCATAATAAACAGTAGCAGCAAGTGTTTGGGCTTAGGAT